CGAAAGGAAGTTTAAAGGACACTGGTTCAGTGGGACGCGGAAAATCATCGCAGTATGTGAGGTTCACAAGGCTACGACCAGATATAGATTGGAATGTTATGGAACTTGAAATGAATTGAAATGTTCTGACATCCATGGAAGTCCCCGGAGGACAATGTATTCAGTGCTACGAGAAATGTAATCTTCCTTCTTGATTTGGTGCCAACTCGAATTAAGCTGATTTCTAATGATCAGAGCTCCCCTTGCAGGAAATTCCTGCAAAGCCAGCTACGTATATCTTACTTCAGGGTTGAATACATATATACGAAAGCACAATGGATGTCTCTCCATCAGCTTCGCATGCGGACGAGACCGTGGCAGTGTATTTAAATGCCTCGTTGCATTGAAATATAAATTGAAATTCGACCCGGAATATGTATGTGGAACGAGAAGACGAACTCTTTGCAGAAACTTGATTAATTTGGGACTCGACTACAAGATCTTTATAAGTAGACCTGCAATTAATTTTCTCGGAAAGGAGACAAACTTTCGATGCCTTGTATCTCTTTTTTTGCTGCTCCTACAGAAGTAGAAGAGCGTGATGAGTGCTACAGAGGTGGGTGGAAACTAGAGTGGTAATGGCAAGCCAAGGTTGCCCGATCCTACTTTCTTTCCGGCTGGCAGCCTGCCGAACCGTCTTGCCTGTTAGTGCCATGTGATATTCCGGTGCCGCCGGAGAAGGGCGATGATTGTTTCTTCATGAAGGATCACGAAAAGCGGCTTCCTCAAGGGGAGCATGGAAGGAGGATATGCACAGCCTGCGTGACCGGCAGCTCGCGATGGTTAGAATTCCATGCGGGCGAGCGGGGCATCAGGCGAAGCGCTTTTCTATCCCCCTTACAATATGAGTCATGACACGCTCCATTAATAACATCCGCATGTGGAATAGGGTAGATTTAATGAGATTCCCCGAACCATTAAGCTAATCATGGCTTTTACCCGGCCACCATTCGCAAGGGTGGTGGTCTTCTGATCTAGTGGAAGTCGAGTATTTGATCTTTGCCCTTCCTTTCTTTGTCCTCTTTTTTTTTTGTTCCTTCGTCTCTTGCTTATTAGGGGTCTCGTGGAGGATGGTGGCTTTAGCTAGTTCATCTGAGCTGAACCTATTAAAGGCAGCCAAATTAAAGGAGCAGTGTGGTTTACCCTGTTGTTCATTAACCTTTTATTTTTGGCTGGTTATCTCTTTTCCTTCCCCCTCGCTCCATCCGCTCCGTCGTCTTCCGTCTGCTCCCGTCCCTTATCCAGCGTGCAGATGTTTCCAAGAACCGATTGCTCGAGAGTCATGAAGCTGGGCACCCCCGAGACGTGGGCATGCCTGTTTCGGTGAGAGCGCAATGCCAACATCACGATGTTATCAAGGGCAGGATCCGCTTGGAAATATTGCGGATAGACGCAGAGAGACGTCGGTTTTATGGCTTCAGGGGTTGATGTTATCGTCGTAGGAACTGTCGCATCTGACAACACTTGCAAAGGCACTTGCGCCGTCTGAAAAAAGGAGAAACTTTTGGCACATTGCCATTAGAAAGAGCCCTCCGACCCGGAGGAGAAGGAGGAAGTGCAATTTTCTCCAAGACTCCCTTCAAAGAATTTCCCTTTCAGTGACCATCCTGTTATCCCGAGAAATCCCAATTTGAAATCCCTTGCTTTCAGTATCGATCGAGAACGGTCAGTGAAGTGGAAAGACCTTGTATATAAGCTTCTTTCTCGGCTCATATCAGTGAGGATATGAGATCTCTTCGGATCGATTCTATCCGACTTAATCGCTCCGGTGCCAACTCATCTGTGTCATAGTCTGTCGATGTTACGTGATATGAAGGCGTTGGTCTTTTTCCATTTCTCCGACTTATTTTTCTTTTTTAAGGGCGAAAAAACAGCGACCCCCATCGACCAGCTTGTACGAAGTAACCCGCTGTTTTGCCTGCATTCTCGCTATAGGACCTCTACTGTGGTACTCGAGTGTAACGTCCACCATGAGATTCCTATATAAATACTACATTCACTCGCGGAAGAGAGAGTATTCGTGAAGTACCTTAGGATCTGACAGATTTTTGCATGAATAAGGTATGAGGTGAAAAATGGCTTCGGTCAGCAATCCGAAAATGCTTGCCCCCTTTTTTTTTGTTGAAGAACGTCCTATGAATTTTGCTGATGTCTCACTTCCTCCTCTCCTCCCCCAACGATGAATATTTGTCGGACTCAGAATTTCCTCCTTAGGGTGAATTCGAGTTCCGCAGTTGCCGCAGCTTTCTCGGGAATATCTCATTAACAATGTGCATTGAATCCTTACCGGCGGCAAAAGGCACATTTGATCGAGGACAAAAGATTTGATGGATATGTATTTATGGGAGGTGGGGGGGGGGGAAGTTAACCAGTCAAAGAGAGGTACATAAATCTGGTCTACGGTGGGTCATTTGAAGGCAAAGGGTTTATGATAGACTTCCGTGTTATCAGGTGAAGGACCATATGGGCAATGCGGCGTCCTTTTTTTTTTGCTTTGGAGTTTTCATCACCCTTGTCATCAGCATCATTTACGCCGCTGTCGTCGGGATCATTACCAACCTATACGATTTGTGCGATTGAACGACAAATTTGACAACTTCGACTTTAAATTTAAAAAATCTCTCCATCCCCAATGTCCGAGGAGAGGTGATTAAGTGGCATTTTATGATAAAGGTTCTCTTTTACCTGTCATAGCAAAGCCGCAAGTGTGTCTTCTGAGGCCGGATAGACTAAACAAGGCAGTTTTTTGGCCGCTATTCTGGCCCCCCCTGTTATTTACCCATCTCGTTCTCCTTTACCCTCTATTCATCGGTATGACGTTCCCAGTAACAGCAGCAGTGATGGCGCCACTGACTTAGTAAATTCTTTCACTGGGAAATCACTCATAAGAGGATTTGATATGATCGACTGTGCCATAACCCTGGTGCTCCCACGCTTCTTGATTCCGCTGGTTCTAAATAGTTCGACCATGTCTGTCTTATTTTTTTCTGGTCTTCTATATTCAGTCGTCACTTTCTCGTCGGTCCTCAACGCCTTCGAAGGAATCCATAAAAAGTCCCGCACGGTGGTTTACTCTCATTTTGATTCAAAGAATCGTTGCTAGCAGGGGGATTCTTTTTCCTCTTGCGTAAAGAGCATCGTTCCCTCACCCGCAATGTAGACATGTACCGCGGGAAATTTTCAGCCGAACGAATTTCAGCACTTTAGATTCTATGAGTTTGTCAAATTCTTCTTCCTGATATATTATGCAAGCATCCCTTTGTGCATATTTTTCACATCGCGACGGATTTTAATCCTGCAAGAGAGCCTGAATAAATGCAAGCATGAGAGCATTATGGAGTGCAAGCAATGAAAGGGGATAGCTAGGGTCTGATGAATTTTGCAATATCCATATGCATGCGCATTTCCTGGATCTTTGGAGGAGTGGCGCATTTATGTGGTGCTTTTTGAGGATGCGTGAGAAAGTTGCCTCGTATGAATCAATATCGCAGCACGTAATCCCGAGTGTATATGGCGCCGGACGTCCCCAACCTTGGGTTTTTGTATGGCCGAGTGATGGCCTCATATATCTCCTTCGTCTTCATTTCCTCTTTATTCATCAGGGGGCTGGCTGGCTTCGCGTCCGAATTAGAAACGCCATCACTAACGCGTTTCTATGAGAAGCCGGAAACAATAGAGTCATCATAATAGGAGAGGTGGGGGAAGTAGGGATGGAGGAAAGGACGACGTGATTCCATTACAGATGCTTCAGACAGTAGTATTGACTCACGTATGGAGGAACAAATTTGTGAAGGAGAACCTTTGTCACTCCTTTTTTTGTAAATATACCCTAACACAGAAAATATACATTTGCAAAAAGCATCATCAGCTGTGCATTTTTCTTTTTGCTTGCAAGGTGCCCATACCCACGGATACATAACGCTACCACATCTTTCTCTGCAAAATGCCTTTCATGAATAACCGACAATATAATTATTTAAAAAAAAGTAGTACTATTTTTTAATGCATTAGAACATTAGACTTTTTCTTTATCATCGGCGTGAAAACGCCCAAGAACAGCTGATTTCAATTTTTATTCCCAATAGTCCCTCCCAGTTTGTGTGTCTGCCGTTACCGTTATATTCCCGGTTGTTCATTTGGCGTCGAGTACCCACAGATTCAACAATAGTTTGCACTTAGAGGCATAAGTTTGCAAAAACCTGTTGCGCTTGGGCGCAAGGTGAACTTCGTCACGATCTCTCAACCTGCAGGGGAATGGTAAAAAAGAGACGTTGAAAGTTTTCGTGATCCTCTTGATCACGAAAACTTTCAACGTCTCTTATTTTAACAGCCTTTACAATTTGGCATGGACTTTGCTGAAGAAAATATGGGAAAATGATAATTTCGTGTAAAATAAAAATCTCTTGAGATCGCAATTAAAGCGAAAGTGATGGAAAGCCGCGCGTGCAGAGATGTGTCAAGTGGGAAGTGCTCGGTAGGAGTGAGGGGCTTTGCGAGAGCGGAAGGGGGAGGGGGGGAAGGTTCCCTCCTTTTCTGCTTCGCGTTATCTACCCCGTTTCTTCCTTTGTGTGGAAGACGGAGTGCGCGGAGAGACGTCGGGTGGGATCAGACGTGCACCGGATCCATTCATCCCCCATTCATTCTATTTCACAATGGATTCCTACGAGGAGCCATTTAATTGGTTTGATTTTCATTCCCACGGGATTCCATTATGGAATGAAATCAAAGTAAGTTACATCGATCAGATGCGTGTCACTCGTCATTTTCTCTCACGGACCTTTTTCCATCGAGCCGAGATAAAGGATTATAGAGCTCAATGAAGTCTGCATGCGGGGATCACGCACTTCCGATCCTTCTCCCTCTTGTGTTTGACGTTTCTCATCCCATCTTTCCATATCGTGCATTTTGTCTTCCAAACGAACCATAAAAATCCTCTTTAGTCCGGGGCTGGTGCCACTCAGATGCCAAGCACAAGCCGACTGGATTTCCGCTTGGCGCGGATCCCTGCGTATGTGAATGTCGACTCCATCGTTTTCTTAGCTCGATGCTTCCTCCTCGACTCTTTCTCTTCCGTTTGCATCGCCTTCGCTCTCCCTCGGGAAGGAACTCAAATCAATAGACTCTTTTCGGTTGGCACCCGTGGCATGTTGATGGGAAGTCGTCTGCGGTTGGTGCCTTATGCGCTGTCATTGGGTAGGCGTCATCCCTGTAATTTCCATTTCATTATTGTGATGCACGAGCCCATGTTGTGGCACGAAGCACGATGGTTATTTTGCGTGCTAATCGTGAGCTCTCCGTTTCCATCCTCCTAACAGAAACGGAATTTTATCCACTAAATGTTTCCTTCATTCCTATAAGCAATTTCGAGGTTACCTGAAGATGGAAGATATAGATCATTGTGAAGGGATCAAAGTTTGCCATGAGTGAATCCAGGGAATAAAGGTACCAAAAATACGCGGAGTTCATTTAGCTAGTTTCGCGTATGAATTTCCTCGCGGAAATAGTTCCATTCCAAACCAAGAAAAAGTGAAACATGGTACGCTAAGGGAAGAAACCCATGCCCTTGAGACAGGCTGACTGGGAAAACTGACTCATCCATGCCTGATCACAGGAATATAGCATTTCTTAGTTATTGCACTTTCATTTTCATTCCCCCATCCGTATCCATGTCATACTCAATTCTCGTGAATCCGGGCTTCTGAGGACCGGCAATTTCATTCGTGTTAACGGCTGACAGAAAATCTGACCGAGTGACCACTCATTTTCTTTTTTCCGGTCAATAAAACTGCACCCCCAATGTAATCCAAAGTGCCTTCATTTATCCCGGATTTTTCCCATGCGAACGGGCAACGCTGGTAGTTCTTTCAACCAGTCACATCGAAGCAGTCCCTGACATTCCTTTTTTTTGCCTTTTGACGCAAAAACCTCTTCTCGAGTCAGATCGCGCCAAAAACGAACACCAAGGGCTGAGTGGAAACTTGCTGACGCTCTGCTGACAAGGATGGATGGGCCTGACTGAGGGAAAAGGTAACCACTGCGGAGAACGAGTGAAAAAAAATCTCAATGACGGAAGTAATCCTCGTTATCCCATTCCCGGAAAAAGGGTGACGGACAAAGATGAGTTCCCTCCCCCGTCTCTTCCTAATTGCTGAGGTGAGGGGAAGAGGAGATGCGGAAAGGGATCGGGTACACTTTTTCTGTTGCAATCCATTTCTTCTCCTAGCAGGTCTCGATGAAAGCCGAGTGCTTGTGTGCCAAAATGCTGTGTAGCATTTTGGATTGCATAACCCAATTCAGCACTTGCAGCTGCTGCACTGCAATTATGCAATGCTGCAATAATATTGCCCGACAGCAGCCGGATGCAGCATGCTGTCCTGCAAAACGTCTGCGCTGTTTATCATGCTCAATAGCACAGAAGTCATTCCTATTTTTTCCATTCCTCCTCTTCCAAAGTAGTTTTTTTTGCAGTAGAATTTGCAATACAGCAGATGTAGCACTGCATCTGCTGGAGGCAACGAACAGGTTTGCTGTCCTTTAACGAACTGCTGCTGTATGTTGTGTATACTCGGGAACTACGGAATAGCGACGTTCGGATTGAACGGATAATTTTAGTATAGATTCTATGGGACTTCTGCCAGGACCATTCCTTTTGTCCGAATTAACTGGCTCGCCGGATTCCAGACGTTCGGATAAACGATAGTTGGCTGTATTCCATTTTCATCCTGAGTGGTAATCCTTCCTTTCCCAACTCAAGTTTCTTGTGATTTTATTTAATTTTTTCTGTGGGTAACCCGCGAAATCCTCTTGGTGCGAACTTATGAAGAGGATTCTGAACGCGAACGTATTTACGTTCGCAGTGAATATCAAAGCTCAGTACTGAGCAGGAACCCCTGTGAATTGGGCTTGTGCGTCTCCGTCTCTTTCTTCATACCTGTTTCTTGAAACCTATTTCATTATGCCTATTTCTGAACGTGAGAGGCATAGATGTCACTCACAAGTCTTATGCTTTCGGTCTATCAAAAATCCCATAATGAAAACCTTCAATTGGTACGTGATATGTCAGTAAAGATTTCCACGATGTCACTGAATGCTGCCTGTGACAGCTACTAAAGCAGCGTGCTCTCTAATTTTAAGATGCTCTGTTAGGACTTCTGTGCAATTGATTGCTATTCTCTATAAGCAATGTTCAGTTTCATTTCGCACGTGATTAGAACGAAGGTGAAGAGGATGTTTTCCTAAATCTCCTAGTTTAATTAGCTAAATTGATGGGGTGATTTTTGTTGCGGTTTGCTATCTCAAAAAATCTCGAAACTTACCAAGAGTAATTCTAAGAAATTCTGTATGCACAATACTCTAGGACCGAATGCGGCCAAGTGCTTCGTTTGAGCAAGTTCAATGGTAAAGCCGCGACGAAAGTTGAATTGGCGACTAATCGAACGACTGCAAGCATCGTAGAGACGATATGACCCCCCCCCCCCCCCCCCCCCCCAACCTTCCCGTCCCCCTTCAGATGGACGGAGTGGCATGGTGCCATTTCACGCTGTGACTTGTTTGCTTTTGCAGGTTCCGTCGGGAATCTGCTGTACACGTGGCAGCCGTCAAGAGAAGCCGTCGACGCATCCAAGTCATCGCTCAATCTCGTCGATGTCGCCATCCAGGTAACGAGGAGACTCGGTATGGGAACGTCCGATTCTCGACCTGGAAGGTTCCCTAGTTTTTTATTATTATAAATCTTTGCAGGTGGATTTGTCGTTGGAGATGATAACGTACGGATCAGAGGAAGACCTGACCAGCCGTCGCAAGGCGTCTCTGCTGCGACGAAAGAAGCAAGCGCCCCTTTACTCACGAGAGGACATTCGGGAGCAATATTGCATCAATAGCAAGGAATTAGAGGTCTTCAACACTTCCAGGAGGAAGGGCATATTTAGCTGTCTCTCAAACAGGCAGGTCTGTCTGAATCCGAGGTTCACCCAAAAAAACAAATGCGATTCCCAGTGTTCAACCTGTTTCAACCTGTTTCTTTGCCCGTCGAGGACTCCCCCTTTTCCATCTTCATTTTTTTTTTTAGGAGAGCCCATGCGGGAATGTGTCCATCCTCAGTTCGTGTGTGAAGCGAAAGACTCAGGACGATTTCCACGACGAGGAAAAAAGGCCTTACGTGAAGTACAAGCCGGCCACGTGGCGCGGATCGAGCGGCTTCGGCCCCTGGATGGTTCTGGACGATGGGATCCAAGACAGCGATGATCCTGAGCTTCACTTCCGTCGCCGTCCCAAGACCGTCTGCCTCGCGGATCCTCGCCGGTATTACTGGTCCAGCGACGAGGAGACCTTCCCCCTCTCGCGAACTGTGAGTGAGATCTTCCTTCGCCTGCTTTCCTGTGCTTTCTCTTGTTTCGTGGGAATACCTCAGCGGATTACTATGTATTTGTCATATCCCGAGGGAAGTATGATGAATGACAGGATATTGGACACGAAAAAGGCGTTTTCTCGAGTTTTCCTGCATCGCACAACTGCCCCCCTCGAAGAACTCTTCCATTATCTAGATGAAATCCCGATCCAGAGCCGCGTTTTAGGAAGAGGATTGATGAGCAACTTCCCTTTCCCGTGAGGGGGGGTCGACACGATACCTCTTCCTCGCAACGCACAACAGTTTGCATTGAGTAGCTCGTTCGAATTCGGCGAAGGAATGCTCGGCGCATCCCAGGGCGATCGAGAAGCGAAGGAATTCAGGGAAAATAAGGCCGTCGGGAAACACCTGACACCCACCGGGATTTTCAGCGGGCGTAAATGGCATTTCCGCTTATGGCTTTCCATATCGCCCACGCCACGATTCTCTCCGGAAGGAGGAAAGCTCATCAGCGAACAGCATGGAGCCAAAAGGATGAGGAAACGCTCGTGTTTCGTATCTCATTCGTTTCCTGGGCTCATCTAGTATGATAATGCACGGTGGGGAAAATTTAAGACCGTTTCGTCTGTAATCATCTTGGAGACAATGCATCGGGTCTATGAGGCACTTTCGCCAGAGAAAGAGAGAACACTTCTGATTATTTGCTGGCAGGCCAGAACGAATTTAGGGAATTCAATACCGGTACCGATTATATGCTAATATGTCTTTGGTTAGTTCCTTGAGATATCCTTGAAATGAGAGATGCGAGAGAAATATCCATTCTACTTTCACCTCGTGCATTTGAAAAGAAGCAGAAGGGAGTCGTCGTTTGAGACGAATTCCTTCTCTGTGCGTTTGTCTTCGACAAGAACAAACACGAATTTTCTCGATGATGCTGTTGCAATTACTCTCAGACTTCACCTCGCGAGTCCCAATCATTTCTGCTCAACCTACGACCCTCGACTTTTGCAGGTCCGTCCTCGAGGGGGCCTGGAAGGCGCGGGACTGGGCGCATCGATGGAATCCGACGACCAGGTGCCCTGGGTCCAGAGGGCACCGGGGCAGCCGTACTACCGAGGCGACGATGTGAGCTACTGCAGCGCCGATGCCATGTCCATTGGGAGCCACGATGCTGCTTCGCTTCGACGGGGTGCTTACCCGCCGGGCCTGGCCACTCCCGACTTCTCGCATGTGAGTTGTTCCCTTCCGTTTACATGGAAGATGGTGGGGTGCGCATCCTCGTTTACGAGGTGGTTCTCCTGGAGAGGACTAGAGAGGACATTCTCCATAATTTCTTTTTTATTTATGAGAGATATTGGAGTTGAAATTTGAAAGGGATCCTTGATTTTGAGTTGGAGAAGGGATGATCCCCGGAAGATTCATGCAGCGTTATATGAAGGAGCCAATCGATATCTCTGTTGCTCTGCCTCATTCATGGTGAGGCTCCTCCATGAGTCTCTTAATACTCGTATATAGCTTTTTTCTCTCGTCAAGGTGGATGCGTGCGGGCAGTTTTTGAAGGGACTAGAGTCGTTTTCCCTTTTATTTCGGTCGGAACGGCGTTCCGGAACAAGGAGAATGTTGATCGTTTTAATGCAACCCAGAAAAAAAAAAACTTTCACCAGTCAGGCAATATTTTTTTCTCGCTACGTCCTCTCTCCGGTCGAAAACCCAGCTCCTGCACGGGTAGACCTAATCAGAGACTCACCTTGTTACGACGGAGCTACAGTGGGAAAACTCGATTTTCACCCGCCAAACGTACTCGGCGCTTTTGCAGTCTGAATTATTACGGAACTAGTCCATCAATTTAGATGGACTAGTTCCGTAATAATTAAGCAGCCTTCGCGTTGCAATGGCTCCCCTCAGTACTATTATCCCCTAACCCGCTTTCCCCGTGTCAGCATGGATCGAGGGAAGAAGGAAGAGGTGGGGAGGTGGGGGAGGTGAGAGGAACGGAAGGACGACTGGTCCAGTGTTCCATCCGAAAGCATGTCAACAAGAACGAAATGCTTTTTCTAGGATACTCGTCTTTGTGAGCGTGTGTGTGTGCGCATGTACGTTTTACGCTTCGCCGTCGCAATAATAATAATCATCATCGTCGTCGTCGTCGTCGTCTTCATCATCATCATCATCATCATCTGCATGTCCCCGTCTCTATCTAGTCACCAAAACCGTTCTCGATAAGCCATGTTCTTCAAAATCGTCTTGACATCATATCCATGTCCTTATGAGCCCCGTTATTTGAAACCGGGATCATGCTTCGTAATACATGATGCCTTGCGTATGAAAAACAGGGAGGAACTCATTCATCCCAGGGGAATATAAAGTCCGCCGCGACGAGATTTAAACTTTCCCCGCTTTATACGGAGTGACTCATTCGGGGCTCCAGGGAATCGATGACATTTGCATAAAAATTGGAAGGTCCCTCGAGCCTTCTCGCCATCTGTTGCTCGGATAGGCACAACACATATTGTAGACTTCAGTCAAAGTTTCCGACATCTGCTGGGGAGGAGAAATCCTGTTCGCTCGCCTTGCTCGTATGTCGTGGCCGCCAAGTGCACTTTGTATTGATAGTTGGCATGTTTTTCAGAACGTGTTCTTTTATCAGTTGCGAATGCATAAAACCTTTTACGAAGAACGTCTCAGACCGGATAAGTAAAGTGATCGATTCGCATTCGACGGTAGTAGATCGGTAGTAGATCGTTAAGGTCGACCTGCACCGAAGCGCTTCCAGTGGAGCATGTTCATCTCCCTCCCCTCCCTAACGCGAATCCGATTAGTTTCCGTCAGCGTATTCAATATTCAACTGCGGTGGATATGCATGTCGCCCACTGATAAAAGGCCGTTAGGCACCGTATTGCACACTTCCGCAACTCTTTATTGCTTGCCATGAACAGCCAGAGATGGAAATTTACAAGTATTTCAAATATCTTATGCAAATATCGGGTGTGAAAAAAATCCCACGGTCCCGGGCTTTAACCCCGGATCGCTTTGCCATGCTACGAGATTTCCTCATTATGTAAAATCAGCCGCTTCGTGTTTTTCTCGTTGACGGAAGTCCAGGGCCACCGACTCAGCATGCCCCTCTGCCCTGACAGATCGAGAAGTAATTTTTCATCGCATCTCGGATCGATTAATCCCCGTTTCCGGGATTTAGCTTTCGGTCTGTTTCCCCAAACACGATCATCTACTACAGGGGTCATCAACTTTGTGCTTCAAGAACCCTCAAAAGTTTTGTGGGGTAACACTTTTGATTGCATACATTAACCTAATTATCCAACGGTTTCCTGTTTTTTTTTTTTTTTTGAACCGAGGTGAGCGAGTCAGTTTTTCTCCATCTGCGGCTTACTCTCGACAGCCCGTTGTGCAACCCAGTGGGTTTTATCAATTTCATTGATTTTTGGAAGTGAGAGAAATACCTTGGCTGTGGTATTCTGTGGTGGTTGTGGGCATGCCAAAGCTCTAATGGCACTCCAAACTCAGAAAGATTGAGGACTTCTGTTCTACGTTTAGACAAGAGTGAGTCGGAGGAATAAGCATAGTCCATTCACATTTGACATGTGTGATGTTTGATCAGCGTGTTTTACTCTAAGAATGGAGGGGGGGGGGGGTACTTGTGAATTTACATTTGTAAGTACCTCTCATCTGGCTTTCGAAGACAAAGTTCTTAGTTCATTCAGTTCAGTTCTTAGGGTTGGAATCTGTTTTTATTTCATCGACCGTACTTTTCAAAAATTTTCAGTTATGGTGTAGTTCAATAGCGTAAACTTTTGGTACCTGAAGACTTCATTAGAAATTCTAATTTAAAAAAAATATGGCTCCCCTTACAGATTAAGAAGAGCCGCCCCGGAACGGTGCCTAGGCAAGTTATGCACTCGAGGAAGTGTGTTGAAAAATTGAAGCGGCCGTCACGCTGGCTTGTCTCCGCTGAAGAATTTTGCGGAGGAGGCTTCAGGCCTGGGTTGAGACCCTTGCTGTGTGAAAAAAGAAAGAAATTATCCCTTTTTCCCCTCGTCTGTTTAAATATTAGTATCTTTTGAAGAAGCCCGTCCGGATTACAAATTCTATTATTTTATCATTTCTTTTGACTGTTGATCCTTGCTTCCTTCAGCTGCCAATGTTGAGCCGGGCAGCTGAAAGCGGGAAAAGCATCGATCCCATTAAACTTGCACCAGCAACCGTTTTAACTTCCGCTGGAGAATTCTGGGAAAGGGAAAGACATGAGACTCGGTTTTCCTTGGGGAGCAGGTCCAAGCCGGACACCGAGGCACTATTCACAAATTACCCAACGGAGACGGGGAGCATGACGGTCGCTTTATTACTATTTTTCAACACTCCTTAGATAAATCCTTCTTCCGTGATTCAGCATCCAAAAAATTCACGTGGCTGATATAGAAATCATATAGAAAAAAGTGGCTCTCGTATGACTAGAAGGGCAATTAATAAGTCCTTAGAACGTGATAAAAGACCATCGCGTGGGGTTGATGACATTTCTTCTAAATGAGAATTCCCATGGAGAGAGTCCACCACACTGCCAAGTAGTCTTCATTCTTTCATCGTTAGTCCTCTTTCTAGCTGCAGACCATCAGCGTCAGAAGACTCCTCATCTTCGCTGAATCCCTTGAAGCCTCCCCTCCCTTTTCAATCCCCACCATTACTATTACGATCTCTGTCCGTCGTCTTCCTTTGATGTAGAGTCATTTCCCCTCTGTACGCTCCATTTCCCTCGAATTCCTCTCGGGCACCAGAAATCATCCTGTTCACACACCTAATTTCAGTTGTCCCTTCCGTTTCCCCTTCCCCCATTTCCGCTTTTTTTGCGTCTCTCGCACTCCATTCGCGGAACCCTGAGGAACCCTTGAAAGGGGTGCGAGGCGGAAGAGTTTGAGACAAAGAGAAGGAATCGAACACTCCTCTGTAAGAGCTCCCGCAGCTTTGGAGTTCGCGAGAGGGGGGGAAAAATCATCATTGAAAAAATTGAGCCAATTTATTTCTTCCCTCCTCCCCCACAAAGGAAGTTGCGAATGCAAGCCATTCTTGGGTGCTCGCCAGGTCCTGCGGAGGGGGAGAGGAGCGGAGATGACCTTCGACGAAAGGCGGACGAAGCACGTGAGCTTCGACAACACCTCCCTCATCCGATCTCAGACGCTGTCGGACATCGACGCCAGTCATTCCAGGAGAATGGTGATGATGGAAGGGAGGCTGGGGTCGAGTCCGGGCATGCAGCAGAGTCAAGAGAGGCTTCTGGATGGACGGAAAATTCCCGATCACCTCGATAGATCGGATATCCTCGGATCTGGCTCCCAGTGCAGCATGACCAAGGCTCTCGTTCAAGGCAAGTGCGGTCGATGGAACCCGCAGCTCCAAAAGTTGAGCCGAATATTTTTTTGCGATTTATCATATTGTAAACTACTCGTGGAAAGAGACTGTATCGGCCTTGATCAGAGATCTTGCCTTCGACTTCAGAGCGACGTCTTATTTCACTCCAATTGAGAAGGAACTTATTTTCCTCTGCCTTGTTTTCCGGGTTTCCTTACCATTAATTACGAAGTTCATTATGAAGTTGGGCCCTGCAGTTATATGTTCATGTATCGTTGTTGTGCAGGGCTTCGAGTTTCCTGTTTGTTTTTTTTAAATACTAATAACACAATGCTATGTAATGCCTTCCGCATGTTGGAACCGTCTTCTCGGCTGAACGAACCTTAGAAAATCGCTTGCCGGAGGCTGTTTTCATATGCTCTTAGAGTAAAGGGTTTTAAGTCTGAATGTCAATATCGGAGGATAAACAGGGTTGTTAGAAATAACCAGCCCGATCTCGTTTGATCATAACTCTGGAAGGACTACGGGATGCAGCTGAAATTTGACGGAGAGGTTGAAGGATCTAAAACAGGGATGTCAAACTCGATAAGGCTGGGGACCGGATGGAAGCTGTTCGCGGGCCGGACAAAATGGACTGGCGGGCCGGATCCGTCCTGCGGGCCGCCAGCTTGACACCCCTGATCTAAAAGGTTTTCCACCCACTAGGGGCGCCGTGGTCGCATTTACAAAGTTAAATATCTAAGAACGGATCTAAACGATGCAATGATTGGACATTAATTCACAGAAGTCGATGGCCAACTACTACGATGTGAATCTCCCACACGGCCAGTTTCTTCTCGACGCACTCCTCTTTTTAGCCTATACCTGTTCTCCACTGTTCAACTTTGCATTTGCCCTCCCCTATCAACATGCACCGCTATCTGGTGGGGATATTAGAAAACCATATAGGCCCATCAATCACTGTCAAATTTCAGCTACATCCGACCATACTCTCCAAAGTTTTGAGGAAACAAAATAGGGTGGGTTTTTTAAATTATATATTGCATTTTACTTATTTAAATATATGCGTGTCATTGACCTTGCCAAAACGGTTTACCGTAGAGAGCTGTAAATTGGCAGGAGCATTTGTATGAGTGAGGGGTGCGACCCTACTTTTGAATCCTTTCCACGTCCGCGCCATTTTGAGTGCGGAAATTTGTTATGCTTAGGAGCGTGTCATCGCCGTCTCCCGAACGGAATAAATGTATAAAGCTAAAAGTTACCAATCTATGCGATTTGCAAGCTGTAGGACCCAAGATACATGCTGACCGTAAAACTGATAGACTCTTTCAAGCACGACGGTACACGTTTACCACCTTTTTATATGGAGTATTGCATGGTGGTTCAGGATTTGTACAACTATTTCAGGGGATTGGAATAAATATTCAGTGCTAATTGAGCATTTTTTTGTCGGGGAAATCCCGAGCTTGAAAGAGTTAAAGAATCTGGTTTTCATAAATGCGTACAGAATACAATCAAGATTCCAGTGAAGGGGCACTCCTGTTTTTCTAAAGGTGGTCTGTAATGGTTCTGGTGGCCATCTAGCCTTCTTCTTTCGGTCACCAAGTCCTTTTGTGCATTTTTGTTTCAACTGCCTGAGTAATTAGCGCCTAGTCCGCAAGATTCTTGCTTCTACTTCCGAGTCGTATATTTACCTGACGGAGATATCTGATGGCGTCATTGCAGAGAAGATGAAGAGGTCGTCGATGAGGACCCAGGCGACGCAGACGGAGTCCGGCCTTCAAGAGCAGAGCTTCCCTCCGCCGTATCTTTCGCTCAGCCCTCGAATGTCCCAAAAGGTGAACGCCCTCTACTGTAGACGAGGATCTCGCAAAAGGAAAGAAATTCTTCGTAATGCCCTGGAACCAACGTAAAGTAACTCCAAGAATGAATATTTTCCGGTTTGCAGGTGAACAGAATCGTAGGAATGACGGCAGCGATCTGCCCTGCACGAACAGAGGTTTCACATGAAATGCGGTTCGACATACCATGCCACGATAAACAAGACCTGCTATGCAAGTCTAAAGCGTAGGAAGTTTCTGTAAAGCGTCTTTCGAATTGGATTTTGACCCCTTGGACTGAACTGGCAAACTCCCTTTTGGCTGGATGATCATTCCCCATGCGTTTTCATACGTGGGAAAAGGATAAGTGGGGGCGGATCGCCTTTTTCTCCTTCGCCGTCTCTCTGAGCCCTCATACGAAAATGTTCTGAGAATTCAAACAGGCAAAAGTGCCTGTGTAAAATCCCCTGGGATTATTCTCGAGCTGGTGATATCGTTGTGAGGGACGTGATAGTGTCTCTAATAGGGACCCAAGGTTAGAAGCCCTCTCTCTCGATGCCCATTTTAATCATTTCCAAGTACACTTCATGAAGTTCTCACTTTCTATTGCCGCGTTAGACGCTCTCAATTTCCGCATTCAGAATGAATCGACGGTCGTGTCCTGAACTAAGCCGATCTGCAGGACTCACACTACTCCACCCCTCGCCAGAGGAAACCTGACGGCAAGATTTCGCTCGAGCGTGCAGGAAAGGACATTCTCTGATACACAGACAGACGCTCCTTCCGGGATGTCTCATCGAATAGGGCGCGAAGCAAAACTTTTCCATCGACGTCAACACCCCGAGGAAACCTTGGCTTACGTAATCTATTGGGTGTTGGATCTCCGAAAAAAAGTACCTGGATAAATAATGCGTCGGTTTCAATACAACATTCGGCATCCATACTCACGATGTAAGTGATCCTGACTTTGAACAAAGAGTGAATCCTTCCCCCAGGACGATTCAGTCCGAGAAACCAGTCCTGACAGATGACGCGAAACGAAAGGGATGAGAATGGACATGGGTCTTTCCCGCCAATAAAAACCCCGCTGCAGAAAATGAAGGCGAAATCGTCATTGATCGTCACTGCCATGTGTCATTTTTCATGGAAAAGGCTGGCCCAACCTGTAGCTTTCGATCGCGGATTTGGTACTCGACGAGGCGGGAACATGACAGTTGTTGCTGCGATTCCTTCGACACATTCATTTAGCTAACGCAACATCGAGATCCCTCTTGAGACTCCTGAGAAAATCTGGATGAAATTAGTGCCATGATACGAGAAGAAGACGTGGCTCTCTCTTAATGGACGAGCGCATGTCTCACGAAGATCGATCCCCAGCTCTTCCCGGAAGAAGCATTTTCTTCCTCCATGCAGCCTCTTATTTGAATCCTGCAGAATGCACTTTCTCCCCTTCGACAGCTGGGCTCTCTCACAGCTTCCGTGACAGCGGCGACGTGCTGCTGCTCCTCATCTACCTCTGGGACGATATCGTAGATCTACCTCTGGGATAGTATCGCGTAAAGATTCTTGGGGAGTGAGGAGAGGGGAGGGGGGGATGTCGTGCGCGATGCAATCGGGAGAGTGTACTCCAATGATTTATCCTGTAGATTATATCGGCATTCCTACGTGTACATGAACGTGTCGTTGCAGAGGGGGAGGGGGGGGGGGGCAGCGCTGTCTGAAGATTGCAAAATAAGAAGTCGTGATTTACATGTTGAGGAAGAAAGGGATAGATTTATTCTGGTTTGCCATTTTCTCTTTTCTTTCCTCTCCCATGTGGACGTGAATCCCTCGAAGGAGAACGCTTGGCTTTCCTTTCCCTAAGAGGTAGAACCAAGTCAAAATGAATCTGTCACTCCCTCTAAGTCATGGAAGAAATGTAGCAGTAGAATATCCAGGGATACGGAGACGCTAACTCGTGGGAGGACAGAAACTTCGTTCGATTCGTTGTCTCCTGGAACCCTGGATAGCCGAATCCTGGAATGCCATTCGAGACTCGGAAATCCGCTAGAGGATTTGGGCGCATCTGGAGCCGGAGGGTATCCTTCTTCGCTAGCGTATCACTTTCTCGCTGCATCACATCTTCAAAGGCAGATGCAGCTTTCTATTGACCTTCAACGGATGCGAAAACTCATGGTTCAACGTTGCCGATAACTTGGGATTTCGGTTAACTCAATAGTCGACGATGTCATTTACTTGCGATGCCGATCGGTGAAGCCCTACTTGCTACGATTGAATTGTCATCCTTGGTCCAGTCTGTTCAGATCAGAAAGGACCGCTCTTAATCCCCATAGTGCAGCAAAAATCTTGTTTGTCACACTTATCCCCATTTCCTCTCCATTCCGCTTCCCGGAGACATGACCTAGACGAAAGCGAGACGGGGATTTGACAGGCTTTGACAGGCGATAAGATGCTTCACCCTATCGAGAGTCGACGCTGCCGACCCTTATCTTGACCCGAACAAATCGTATACACGAGAAGGAATCCTGCCTAGGCTTGTGAATGATGAGCGGAGAGATAGCCTGGGCTGGAGGCTCGCTCCCGTTCCATCAAGCCTTGTCAAAACCCTTCCCCTCCCTTGCTGCCACGGGTTGTGCCCTCATCGGTAGCTATCTCTGGAACGAGTCCCAGGGAGCGAATCCATCTTTAGTTACTAAAATTGATATTGATTATGAATTTGTTTACTGCAAATGTTATTAGTCTGTTGAACCCAGAGGCTTCATTCATGAAATGGCTGCAACGTCAAGGGAATTTAAACCTTTCCCTCAATGTGAATGGGGAGATACGGTGGAAATACTTGACTTCACACTAAATGTTATCATTCAGGGGAAGCTAGAGTTCCTGAGGATATCCATGAAACATTATTTTGAGTGGGGGACCCCCAAGGTAGCTGGGACTATAGAACGCATCTCGAGTTTTGTCATCTCGAAGGACAGGTTTTTCCACCACACCCCATTTTGTGCGAGGATGATGACTTGCCTTCTGCCGGGGAAAAAGGAAAGTGCATTGAATCATCCAGTCTTCCAAGCATGTAATGCGTGCTCGCCCTTTAGAGCACTCCGACGGTCAGAATCGATTATGCTAAAGTCCTCATTCTGGGTTCCCTTCTGTCCTAGTTCGACTGTGCGCGTCATTGTTGTAGGAGGAGACCTGCAAACCGGACGATGTTCATGCTGGGAGCTGAACATATATACTGTACAGGGTGTTCGTATTTAAACGCAACATAGAGACATTTTTGCCCCCTGTTTGTGGAGTTCAGCGCGTGCCCTGTAGCTCACCGGGTGCATATCTGGAAGGATGAAACCCATCACTGGTGTGTTTCCTTGCAGATAGGCAACCCGGTGAGCCACATAGCGTTCGCTGACCTCCACCTTCAGGCAGCAAAATATTAATATTTCCTAAGTTGCGTTTAAATACGAACACCCTGTATAGTCGTTGCAACAACAAAAGAATCACATATGTTTCCCTTTAAAGATTTTAAAATGGACTCATAGGAGGAAAGAGAGTAAGCTTCTCCCGGTAATACGTAGTTAAGCTGAAGCCAGCGCATATCCTCCCGTTTCCCTCAGAAGCCCATTAGAAGCATGTTCTGAAATATTCTATGAATTATCGTTATGTATCCGCATTTTCCCTTGCGTTTTGCATATCTGATGTACCATACCTAGGTCCACGCTGTTACGTAGGAGTCAGGGTTCACTGAAACAGAATTGCTGCCGCTGTTCGAAAAATCAGCGTATCAAAATTTCCCAACTTTGACTTCATCTAACACTGGAATGATCTTACTGATTGTCTCTTTCCGGCGTAGGTTCGGAAGCGGTCGACGAGGACTCAGACCAACGGGGGACACCGAAATCTCGTCAAGAGTCATTCCGAGCTGGGCCACTTCGAAGACATTCAGCTGAGAGTCTACGACCTGGACACAGGTCCGCGGTAGCTCGGGAGGCCTCTCTCGGGAATCATCGTCGCGGCGAGTTCCAACCTCACCCTTTCTCTGGTGTTGCAGGGCTGGTGAAGTCCCAGGACTTCGTCATTCCTCCGCCGAGCGACCTGGACCAGTTGCTGGCCGCAGCCTCGTCCACTTCCATGGAACATTCCTGCGAGAGCCCCCTTCGGATCAACCCTGAATACCGGGAAATCAAGCGCATGAAGGAGTACAAGGAAATCTTCATCGATTTTCAACCTCAGGAGAAGGCGAAGAGGCACGTCCTCACGAAGACGCTTTCCGAAGGTGATTTATGGCAGCACTCTAATCTCAACGTAGACATACATGCCTACCTTGTATGAGTCAAGTTCGATCCTTACGCATGCAGAGGCTTCTCCTCAGAGAACTGTAATAAACCTCTCCATTTGTTGAGTGGAATGAGTCCCTCAAGTAGAGATGAGGAATGATGAGGTTGGGCTTGAGCGTTCATACGGGAGAGGGTCTGTCATAGACATCATCAGGCGCATCTCTTAGCTGAGACAGATAATATCATGTCTAGGCCATTCATTTGTAACGCCTCTCCTATATAATGGAGAGACATTGAGAGTTATAGGTCATGGAGTCATTCCATGAACATGTCAACCTCATTGTCAAAGTTAATATGCACGAAGGCCAATAAGGTGTTGTTGAAAAGCAACGAAAAGGGAAAATATGGATATTGGTTGAGACTACACTTGAATACTTTTTATTTAGACAATGGGCATTTTGTAGGAACTAAATAGAATAGAATAGAAATAGACTTTCTATTTTATTTTGTTTAGTCTCTACCTGGCTATATTGGTGGGGTTTACCCAAAACCCACTGGAGAATAAAATTAAACAGGGTAAAACTCGTACGTCCTAGGTAGGTACCATTGAATCAACATCGAATAGATGATTCAACGTCTGGATGTCGATACAATTCTTATTCAATGTTGATTCAATGTTACGTGCTCTCTGGGATAAGACCCTGGTCTGTCCGGATGAATAACACGTCGCGCATGAGACACATGGCATGTCTCCACGCGATGCAGCTGAATCATCCGCTCATGCCCGGTCCGTGGCTCTTGAAAATGCGAGCACCAGGACGTGAATTGATGTTCTGGTTTCCACACCATTTATCATGAAACATATTGAAAGGGCGAAGATCCCTGATGGGAACTTTCACAGAAATGGAGGGAAACCATTTGGCTCTTCTACTGCATTGTCCATTTTCTGTCCTGTCGGTTACCAAGAATTTATGAAGTGCCACAGTCAATTTTTCCAGAGAAAGAGCTTGAAACATAGTACCTTAGTGCCACTCCATCCGTCCTCACCAGAGCCCTACATGAAGTCGTGCTTGCTGTTTAAAAACGTAAATTTACGAAAGTTTGCTAAGTATGCTCAAGAATATCCCTCTGTTATCGTTGAATGGCCCAATATATGATTTAAATCTCGTAAACCCTTGGCACCTCATAGTAGAATTCAGTCTGACTGCCTGATTCTATATTTCAGTCCATTGTCGAACTCAGTTTGAGAGTTTCTGGGCATTTATATTTGCGGCAGTACTCTGAACTAATGTTGTCTGTTCTTGTCGAAAGGTGGCAAGTACTTGTTCTCTGCTTTACATGGTGAACAAAGGGTTAAATTATAACTGGTTTACTGGAAAGTGAACTCTCTTCGAATGCATATTAAGATGGAGTCATTGATCACAGGGGATGTCCTGTGTGGGAGAAAGCAAGCATTGACCCTGGCGACTGGATACATCAACGTGGACCTGGATCGAGTGAAGAGCGAACCGGATGAAGACTTCATCGAACGATGCATCGTGGACTCGGAAGACTACACCCAACCTGCCATGAAGCAATCGGAAGAATTCTTCGCCCAACACCGGTCGAGATCCGCGGCAACAGGAAAGAGCGACAGCGAGGAGGAATTCCACGAGAGCTACTTCATCGATACTTACAGCGACACTTACATCAAAGAGGAGGAAGAGGACGAGGACGTGGCGTCCTCGGAGAGCAGCGCCAAGAAGCAGCAGGAATCGTGGGACCAGTCCACTGTCTCCTCGTCCGTTGTCACTGAGTCCTTGAGCGAAGACCGGGCGATAGACACCTGGAGAGGAGCGGTCACGACGGTTCAGACCTGGGAGGAGAAGCACGGTCCGTGGGAAACCATTCCCGGTCACCCGTTGTCCACTGAGGAATCCGAAGTCTCTCATCCACCCGCTCAAGCTCAGTATTCTTTCTCCTCGGAGAGCGTGAAGTCTCACTTCTCCTCGGATTCCGAACTCAGGACGTTCGACCCTCACGAGTTATCTCAGGACCAAGAGGAAGAATATTTAGACGAGGAGCTCCTGCCCGAGCTGACTCGAATTCATCGAGAAACCCGCCCCGAGATCCGGGCGATCTCACCCCAGGAAGCCGTGTTCATCTTGGAGAGTGCCGGAGATCGAATGAGTGAACCCCCGACGCTCCGAGAGCCGGTGGACGAGAGCGTCACCAGTGATTCCCTCGTGACCGTGATCCAAAGACATCCCATGAAGCAGTTGAGCGTCGACAGTGCGAAACTCCTCTCGGATAGCGAGACCATGGTTAGCATATCGGAGTTTGGATCCCTGCAGAGCACCGGAATGCACAGCAGCGTAGAGACCCTGGTGAAGAACGGGGCTTTCGAAGCTTCGAAGAGCGAAGACGAGCCAGATTTGGACTACATCGCCTTGGATCGAGACGTCACATCCCCTGTCGAGGCCTCTTCGCCCCCGCGATCCGAAACGCTGCCGAAAAAAGAATCACCTACAAGGGAAGGCTGGCACGTCGAGGAAGCAAAACCCCCTACGACCGTTTCTCGGCCTCCCCTTCCACCCAAACCCGAAAAGGTACGGGATACCTTGCGGCAAAAAAAGAAGGGAACGGCCTCAAAATCCCCCGATTCTACCATTACGAGCAACGACTCGCCGAAAAAATCTCCACATCATCACCTCACTTCCCTGGGGGGTCTGTCGCGCACTGATTCGGGAAAGACGGAGATTTCCGAGACGTCTGAAGAATATGTGACCGCAACGGACCACTCAACGACCAGCAGCAGCAAGAAAAGCGGGAAGGCGCTGAAGAGCGAAGAAGGCTATTACACTCCGATAGAAGGGGATAGCAAGGATTCGTCGAAAGCAGAGAAGCCAGACTCCTCGACGATCACCGCTCCGGATATCGACAGCTCGATGCTGACCAGCTCGGAGACGATTCAGGATATCCACGAGGAGCCCCTGGCAGAAATACTATCTCCGGGCCCGGAAAGCAGCTCCAGCAGCAGCAGTTCGGGAAGTTACGCGATCGAACCATCTCCGGGCAGCCAAAAGAAATCGTCTTCCCCCTCCATACCTCATACGATCGAAGAGAGCGGACAGGAAGTGGAAGAAGCGAGCACGGAACCCCAGTACGTATCCCCATCGACGGTGCGAAGAAGGAAGCACGCCGAGAGGGAGAGAGACGACGAAACCAAACGGTACAGCAAGTATCTCGAAGAGGGCACGGAAGAACGGGGCGAGAGGGAAAAGCTGAAGCTCGGGATGAAGCTGGATCTGTGGGACACCGGGAGTTCGAGACCCTCCGGTTGGCCCAAGGTCGACCTAAGCACCGGCGAAGTTCAGGACCGCGTCCGGTCCTACAACGGAAGAAGCGGAGGAGAAGACATGGGAGCCAGACCCAGAAGCTACCCCACTGACAAGAAGAGCAAATCCGAAGACGAGAGACGCCGAGACGACATCCCGAGAACCCGAAAGGACCGCCGGAAGCAGGTGACATCCTTGGGAATGGTCCGAAGTCCCGCCATGCACGAGGGCTTCCGACCGGAGTTGTTCACCGTGGAACGTTCCCCTCAGACCCCGAAAGAATACTCCAGCACCAGCAGCGACTCCGAGGAAGTGAAGCAGCGTAGCGAGCGACGCCGTCGCCGCCGATACTCCAGGGAGACCCCCGAGGAGAGGAACCGGAAAGGGAAGAACAAAAGTCGCAGCTCCAGTCGCGACGGCCCGGAGCAACCCGGCACCCTCAGCTTGGACAGGCGGAAGAGGAAAGACGACCCAGGGTCCAACGGAGTCCCCGTCACGAGCAGTTTAGATCGAAGGAAAAAGGATTTAGTCAGAAGGCGCACATTGGAGAGAGAAGACGCCGTCGACTACGGCAGCGATTCCGTCCCGAAAGAAAAGGGAAGAGAAGGCCCGAGAAAGAACGGCAACGGCAAGGTGAAGCAAGTCCGCATTCGACTGCGGAGCTCCGAAGACGAGGAAAAACCCGACAAGGAGTCATCGATCGAAGCGAGAAGACAATCCTTACCCAGCAATATCATGAACGCCAAGCGAATCCACCGAAAGGGGGAGCAGTCGGATTCCTTCGAGGGCCACGAAGTCCTCTTCGATCCTGCCCAAAGTCACTTGCAAGTGAACCCGGAAGACACCATCCAACGCCTAGGCCTCAGCTACGAATCCCTTCACTCCGTGAGTGCAGGCAGTGATTCCGTCTTCTTCCAGTCCGAAAGCGTCGAGGAGATCCGCCAGGATCTGGCGAATGGGAAAAAAAATGGGACCCAGGCGGAAATAGAGACGAAGAGCGAGATCGCGTCCATCCAGACAGAAGCTCTGGATCTGGATACCTTCGAGAAGGCTCGCTCCCCTAGCGACGAACAGAGCGAAGAATTCATCGCACAGTCCATCTCGGAGCCCATCACCCCCCCAGAGAACTTCACCAACGGAGCTTCTACCTCCACCCTCGTCCATTCCTCATCGGAACCCGGAATTCTCGTCGACCACTCCGAGGGAAGTCCTTCGGGCACCCTGTCGAGAGCCGCCGAGACCCAGACCGGTCGGAGCCTGAAGAAGAAGAAGCATCTCGTGCCCGAATTGCACGTCCTCCTTCCGCTGGGCCCCGATATCCCCGAGGAAGAGACGGCCGCGAAACGAAAGAAGACGAGGGTTCGTTCCGAGGAGAGAGCGACCCCTCCCATTGTGAGCAAGGACACACGGGCCAAATCCGAGGAGAGGTCCTTGGAAGAACGCCTCAGGTAGGCACCTTTTCGCCCCTCTCGTATCTTCGCATTGCTGAGCTCTGTCGCTCGCCCGCGTCATCGTCGTTCCCCGCCAACCTGGCTTTCGTTTCCCGCAACTGCTAAGGACAACGCCGTCAAAAGTGAACGGAAGCCTCAGACCGAATAGGTATGCATGGGAAGCGCGTAATGATACTGCGAATCTCGTGAATTCGACTACGAAAATGCGTCACGAAATTCCTAAGCATCACATGGCCATGCGGAAGGCTCTTTTTAATTTTTATTATTATCTGGGAATCTGGTGTTCTACCCTAATTACCGTGAAACTCTGTACACGGAGGTACTATGGAATGTACACTGCAGAATTTGTTGGATTACAAATTCGCTTTAGATACTAGACGAAATCACGAATGAGGCGCACCTGAGCATTACAGGGTCACCCATGCGCGTTACAATTGCTACAGGAATTAAAACTTTTCTGCAACTTGAGAATTTTGTTTTCTGCCTTCCGGAATCCCTCATACTTTTCGGGCCCCTTCATGCTTGCATCGATATCACACCAAAGTCGCTAACTAGCAGCATCTCGACAAAATGATCGGATTGGACTTTTTTTAGTATTAGAATATTACACGATATCAATGAATGTTTCAGGCCCAAATTTGTCGACATTCTGTTTTCGGGTCGAAGTGTGTCCGAACTGGCTGGCCTGTGGACTCCATGTGGTTGTTGACCAAAAGCCAGAGAAAATTTCCCTAATGTTCCAAAGTATGCCTAAAAAGTACTGAAATTATTCAAATAGTAGAATCAATTTCTGAAGAGACCGATTATTTTCCCCTTGGGAAGGGCAAGTGTCAAGTAGTGGACAAAAAGCCTCTCGAAATCATTTTGTCGAGGTTGATTGGGTATAGAACGATATCCTTGCAAACGCGAATCCTCTGCAAGACACAAGCCAAGCTCATTAACTGAGCCGAAGATCGAATCCAACCGTCATTAAATGAAATGGGTGCGATGATCGACAAGCGATTGCATGCAGGCCTTACATGGGAGGCGTTAAAAGAGTTCTCGGGGAAAAAAACGCCCGGCGGTTAGATCGAAATTTTTTAGTTGACTAATAATGATAAATATTGGAGACTTTCTGCATGGATCGTTTCTTGTGCATGACACTTCAGATTCAATGCCATCATCGAATACTTATTTGTCACTTGTCGTGTGTTCATTCAGAACCATTTTCGTGTTCTCATTCAGAACCATTTTCGTGTTTTTCTCTTCATTTCCACCTCTGTACAAATGTTCGATTAATCCCTCCCTCTTTGGATTCCTGTCGTTTCTCGTCGCACACCAATGCGAACCGACTTTCGGATTGGTCGTTGTGAATCTGTAAGCGTGTCAATTCATGTCCACGAGGTGGCTCTCGGGTAAGGACGTGATTGGGGGGTTGGGGGAGGCGGGGGCGGAGGGGAGGGAGGGGGGCAGAGGGGGCGGGACGGGGCGGTAGCTCAATTCGATTTCCAACGTTGATTCCGGGAAAAGTCTTGTGGATGTGACTTGAATCTGGATGGTGTGGATTTGGCATTTTAATCCCCTTTTATCCCGTTACCCTCTAAAGGGAAAAAAAAAGTTTGAATCGTCGCTTGCATTCCCTGCATGTTGTCGGGTGGAGCTTTGTCACGTACGTGGAGAGAACCCTTACTGGAATGATGCCAGGCGATTCTTTTTATTGGTTATACGTTGACGACAGAGAAAGGTACACGCTTGCAGGCTTTGAGAAGAAAAAAAAGCCAAATTGAGTTCCTCATGCTTTGCAGTTCTCATGCTTGTGGGCTGATTGGGTCTGCCCAGCCGAATGTTAATCGCAGAGAGGGAGAGTTCGCCCCTTCATTTGTGCGCCCTCTGCATTTTTCCACTCTCCTTGTCATTCGAGAAAGGGTTCCCGGATGAACCAGAGCCGAAGCCCAAGGGACGAAGCTGGAAGACGAAGGAGGATCTGGCACTCGCGTGCTCGTGTTAATTACGACACGGTGGGGTAATAGATTAGAGCAGACGTGTATTGAGAACCCGATTCCGCAAGCCCCGCAATTCTCATGTCTCGGGTATTCATTAAAGTGTGGACATCCGGATGTGTGCAGAGGGTGGAACCCTGTTGATTACTAAATTGTGGTACTACACGTTACTAGTACGTTCTAGAGAAGAATTATTCGCATGCCGAAAATAATTACCATTGCTGCCTATTCGAGAACACGAATGCTTTGAACCGTCCCGAAAGCAGGCATGAAAGCTACACCAGTTGTTTGATCCCGGGTCGCAACCTATCATTGCAAGGACTATGCGAACTTCCGTATAAAAAAAAAAGAGAAACTCGCAGGGAGTGATCTTCGGGAATCTCTGGCAGCCGTGATGGACATGACAGAAACTATATCTCCCTGTCGGAACTCCATGCCAAGCCTCCAGTATATTTTGCCACTGCATAATTAACCGAGGAAGAGGCACTCCCCTACACTCTTCCCCTCATTCATATGCATGCCTCTGGAACGGCAGGCGGAAGAAAAAAAGTGGAAAAGGATGACTTCTTAAATCAGATCCTCCGTCGACATCACAATCGAAGTTATCGAACTCCATAAATTTCGTGCGGTTGCAAAGTCGACACAAATGGCAGTCCATGAACGAACAAATGAGACCAAGTATCCGGAAAGCCTCTATCTCGAAAGAATAAAGAAAAATGTAAAATATGCCCATCTTCGATTGATAATCCTCCAGCTTGCAGGATCCAGGAGCATTCCAATTTCAGAATCCCTTGTCCAATTTCTAAATGCACGAGTCAGAAATTCACTTATTCTATTTGTGCTTGTAATTGGAAGTTAGCAATTAAGCCCTTGGTCCTCCTGTGCAGGGATGTCAAATATTTAAGAAAACAAATCATGAGATGTAGGGAAAACATATTCTCTTCGTCATTTGTGTTCAAGAGAATTTTACAGGCTTTGCGTGTGGGGCACATCACAGATAGATAGAACCGTTCGTGAATGCCTGGTTCGTGTCATTAGGAATTGGGAAATAGAATTCGGAAGCACAATTTTGCCTAATAATAAACCTGACGAGTTCTGTGGCGAGCTGGAGGATTTTCAGGTCTTCAATAGCGTACGTACTTTTCTTTCTTCGTTATTCCGCCAAGACTCCATGGATACGTGGCCATACCCGCTCCTCCATGCAGTCTCATCACTAATTGGATTAGCTTTAGCTGGGAGCCCCGGGAAATCGGCTTTCGGAACAAAGGCTATTGCAACCATCAACTCTAACAACCATAATGTCCAAATCTCTTCGATACAAAACAAAGTAAGAATCGCTTGGGAATCACGGCCCTGTAAGCAAGGGGAGAAAAAGATTAAGAATCGCCTGCGAATAAGTAAAGTATTGAAAAGCAAACATGATTAATTCCTGTCAGAGAAGCGATTCTTACTCAGGTGTGATATATGATGTTGGCGTTCCTAGCCGCCCCTTACATACGAGTATATAGGTGTATGGAGATGCATGTTCATAAATTGCTTCCTAATCGATCTTTAAGCTCTTGCCAAGCCCCTCCTATAACCTACTCATCCTTAACAGAGCTCCGAGGCGATAAGCAACATAGTGTTCTGCATGACGGGTTTAATTGAGGAGGCATGCGTTGGGAGACATCCCCCTGCATTGGCATCTTTTTCTGCTCCTTTTCCCCCTTGCCCTCGCTTCTGTGCATGATGAAGCAGGAAACCTCGGAAATCCTCGTTGGACTCAAGTCCCGACTCTTTTAGCAGAGGACGAATGAGCTCCAACTCTTCCATCAGATCCTCCTCCATCGACATCTGCTTCGAGGACGAGGAAGAAAGTGGTTTGTGACTTGCAGGCTTCGTCGAGTTCTTCCTTCGTTTTTGGCCGTTCAGCTGCATTGCTCACTCGATACCTTTACCATTCTGTAGGTGCTGTTTATGCAGAGTGCTACAAGAGTATGTCCTGGGTTTATATAGGCGAACGGCGGGAAGAGGAAGAATTGAAAGCTCAACGTAAGCGCTGTAACTTCAGTTCTTTCAACTTGACCTTAAGTTATTGGATTTCGTTGGTACAGACTCTTTTAACAACCTTCATGGAATTTATCCATCATGTGAGTGCCAATCGTACAATTCGTCCAGAAATACCTACTCCCCTTCTGAAGGAAAAGCATAAAACATCGGAGCTCTGGTCACTACACGAAAGCCAAGTACAGGTGACTCTCGTTATACGCGCTTTCGTTATCCGCGTTTTCATTTCGGTGCATGGAGACTATCACTATCCCTATCCGCAGGCGCCATGGAAATTTTACGCGTTTTCGATATACGCGGCGATTCTCGAGAACGCAACCCCCGCGTATAACGAGAGTCACCTATATATATAATTGAGAGCCAAACATCAAAGCATGAATAAGTTAGGTATTGAGTAGGATTAAAAAGAACGTTCAGAGATTTTGAAAATAAAGAGGGCCCTTAAGAGCGAAAATTTAATTTCCAGAGATAAGCCTCCAAAATTGGAACACAAATGCAAAGCACTACTGAATGAGATTAAAAAAAAAGGCATTTACATCTCAGCAATAATTTTCAAATGAAATCAGATTTCAGACCTTTTCTCCTGCGAGATCACTAATTTAGTCACGCGGAAAAATTATCCTTATCAATTACAAGCCTATCCCAGTTCCAGTCGACTAAAAACCCCAGTCGGAACGGTAGAAGCTGAGCAAATTCTTGATGCTTCGGTGTTCAGTTTTTGTACTTTTAATTCGTCCAATGAGGAGCAGTGGTGTTTTCTTGTTCTTCCTCTAGAGGGGTGAACAAATATTCCTGTAAATTTGCTATACAGGGTGTCCCACAAGTCACTATACTATTTCAAACTGCAATACTTTCCAAACTACAACAGCCAGGTCAATTTTGTTAGCATCGATGGGAAGAACGTTCTTTAGAATATTTTGACAATATTGACTTGGAGTCGGACTCAAAGGGAAGTTCCTTCAAAAACATGTCGGAAAGGTGTACGTTTTTAGGGCTATTAATGGTACACATTCTTGAATCCCCTTTTACAAAAATTCCCAAACTTCATGTTTTTCCCCCTAATTCCAGATAGACCTGAGAAACAAACGAAAAATTATTCATTTCCTTTAATTTGCTTTCGTTGTAACGAGAAAAGGCATCACAATTGACGCTCGAACAACGTTCCTTCGTTGCTACCTGGAACGGAGGTTTTGAGAGTCCCATCCGAGTCCAAGGGAAGTTTCGGCTATATTTTTGTGGTGAGCATCATGCCAATTGTATTGATATGGGCGGAGGTCATTTTGAGGCACTTTCAAACTTCAGAAATACCTCCATTTTTGACAAAGATAATTCCAAATGATATGCTATCGTTAAGCCAATGTTACTTCTTTTTTCGCCAACTGTTTAGCAGATGTGAATTTTTGAAAAGGTATAGTGACTTATGGGACACCCTGTATACTTAAAGCCTACAACAGTAAAAGCGACAAAAACCTTCAATCCGCTAAGTAATTTTAGTATATGGTGACAGACAATGCAAAAGTACTCTGACTTGAGCTAGCTCACAACCTATATAAGCTGTCCTGTTAAGGAAGTATATCTCCATGATTTCCCTCAGCATCGAAGGAACCAGTGGATCGCGTGGCATCGACTGGGTCCGAGAAGGAGTTCAGCAAGAAGTACCAAGCCATCACCCATCGCATGATTCATCGGAGAGCGACTGCGCATATGTTCGAGCGCATTCAGGATAAGCGGTTCGGTAAGTCTCTGCTCCACTTCATTCGAGCCGACTTTGAAGTCCATCGGATCCTGGGTTTCCCGAAACGGAAACCAGACCAGGGGCAACCTTTTCGACAGAGGGACTCGTATTTTCCTTATTCGAGGCTTCGTGACCTGTAGGAAAGGTTTTTTTTATTATAGAAAAGAATACTGGTGGGAAAATTCCCCCGTGCAACAAAAATTTAAAAATTTGTGTCTTGCGCCGAACCCTAGATGACTAAAACCAAAACCCTACGTCGACCGTGGAGTGGGTCTCGAAAAATAGGCTGGAAACCGCTGATGCAGACCGAGCACTCGCCACATTCGGATTGACGAACGAGTCGGCATAAAACTTTCAGAGTAATAGCTTCGCGTCTCCGAGCAGGAAGCTCGGGAGGACGAATGAGCTCCATGCATCTTCCCGTCGGAGCTCCACAACGAGTCCATGCCAAGTCAACGGTATATTTTGTCACTGCATAATTGACCCAGAACAACATGCTCTCGTTGAGATGCCTCCCCCTGATCCTTATCTGCAAGTCTCGCGAGGGAGTAAGAAGGGAAGGAGAAAGAGGAGGTCGGTTTGGTTTACCTCCAAAGACGAGATTAAGGAGATCCATCGCAACTTTTTATAAAGACTTTGACAGCATTATGTTCAACCTGTTGCTTTTGGCTCTCTGTCATGCAACAGGTTTCAAGCCGAGTGTTTAGAGTGTAAACATCCACGGGAGTATAGAAGACGTAGAAGAAGAATGTGAAGATTCTATAAATATCAGAAAAGCGTGCAAGGAGTTGAAACTGGCAAGGGTTCTTCCGTTGGCACGTGGAGTGCAAGAAGAGCCAACTTTTCGTCCTTCCCACATTTCTCTTTTCCGTTTTGTTTTTTTCTACTTCTTTTCCTTTCCTTTTTACCACTCGTGGAGCCTCGTGTGACTCCGTGGAATGCCGGGCAGAAATCCCATTTCGACCCGCCAACTGATTGGCTTCGAACTAATATGCAAATCCAAGATTGCCTGCTTCTCTCGGATAAGTAAAGGGAAGGTGCAGTCTCATTCGATGCTTTTTTCCCCAGAGAATCCCATTCCCTAACGAGGACGTGCTTTTCTTATCCCAATCTGAACTAAGAGCTCTGAAATGGAAACGCACGCGCTGCACGATTTCAAGCAAGTACCGGGATGCGGTATGAAACCGGGTCACACGTCTCCAACTTATCTTCTTCCGTTCTGCCGCATAGGCATGTGAACGTGACTGTGACTGCTCAGTCTCTTCTGTAAAAACTGCGAAATATAGCCTCGACAGTACTTCGGTCGTATATGCCAGTATCTGTCATGAATGTTCTTTGCGCGATAGGTTGAATCGGTGCTTCGTGATAGAGCCAATAAAGGAATTACGGGTAATTATTTTTTGTTCATTTTGCTCCTGCATTCACCTGTCAGGTCGAACCTAGATGTGGGGTATGGTACGCGTATAATCTTCCTCACTTCAGCCTGCAACTTCTTTATTAGCTTAGTGCACTATTTTCGTTATGTTGCTGCTACCATTTGCTACAAGCTAGTTTCTAGATGAGAGAACGCGAGTTTATCTGAGTAAATGAGTCGATGACATTTGTTTTCAACCTCCAGCGGACATATTGTTTGCTCTGTGCCAAAATCACGTGAGCGACTTGGGCATGATTGCTCAGGAGACTGAGAAAAACAACTGGTAATGAGTGTTTGTACTTGAGTTATACATTCTTGGGGTATACTAGTATATGAGTTGTATAAAAGCTTGCTTTTGCTATATTTTGATTGGCACTTGGTAACTGCATGCCCTTGGAACTAAAATTAAGAGTTATTTCAAAAAACAGGAGTTTGGCGCCAGCCTGGTTCTGGCACAGAGGCGTCAATATGATCACATGACCAAGGGAAGCGAATGGGTAAGCTCCAAACCTCGACCTCAGAGCCATATACGAAACAGGATGACACTTATAGATGCCCTCCGCCTCGAAGCGGACTCTCCATTTTCTCTGACAAGGAAAAAGTTTCATTGGCAAGCAACATGCCAGCATCGCCCTTCTTGTGGCCTGTACTAGGGTAGGTGATACAAATTCCGACCCCCTTAAGCTCAAAATCCGCCCCCTCAGTAACGGTTTGATATTCATCTTTTTGAGATCTATGCCAGTCGAAAGGAAAATGCATACACCACCCCCCATTCACGTTTAGGGATCAAACACTTGCGTAATTAGGTTGAAAAAGTCTGCCTGTACTTCTAATTGAGTTGAAATATATAGCGTGGGAGCGGAATTAGTAGGGTCGGAATTTGTATCACCTACCCTGGCATGATCCTTCGTCATTCAAGAAAGAAGTTCCCCTTGATGACTAAATACGAAAACTGCCATCACAGACTTGAACTTAATTCCTTCGAGATCGCCTGAGGAACTCGAAGGAATTTTCTTAATACATCTCCACAAGCTCAGAATATTTTCCGATCCATATCTTGAATCTATTGCTATATCATCTATCTATAGCTCGTTGCAATTTAAGAATCGTCAAGCTTACGCCAGTTTTTTCATGGATACTCAATTGCGTGCGTGACTTTTGCCCTTTAAACGTTCTCAAATCTTCTTTCTGCCCATTTTGCACAGAAATAAATGCCTCGAAAAAACTCCGGTGACTGGCACCGTTCTTGCTATGGCCTCATTGTATCACCCGCGCTCTAAAACCAAGCTGGCAACTGTTGAGGAATGTTCACATTGATAGGATCACCTCACCAGTGGATTTTTCCTCGAGAATCCTATTTTCCCTATTTTCTTGTCAATCATTAGTATTTTCCATGGCACTGCGTATAACTTTTCGATGACATATCACGTATAATAGAAATCTACCAAAGCATTTGCGATGTACTGGGAGGTTACATTGAAGGTCTATGAAGTTATATATAAATAATTATGGGGAAGGAATACACTTACAATTATAGAGATGTTTAAATGATTTTTTGCATGGCCCTCATCGAAATCATCAATAAGAGAAGTCTTTAAAGCAAGAGTGACTGGTAAAATGGGCCGACTTAGCTTTCTTTCTTTTGCAAAGGAAACGTATTTTCATCATTCAAACCGTACGGAGTGAGCCGTCTCTGACGCACATGTCGCATAGTCACAATGGTCGCATTCTTTCAAGGCACAAGGGAGCAATAAAAAGAGAGTACGAGATGTGGATGCTACGAGAAGGCGGAAAAGGAAATGAACTGTAGATATGTGGAGACATGTAGTAAGAGAAATGGCGAGAGGGTGACTGTGAGCAGTGGCGTAGCTAGAAGGGGGGTTCCAAGTTGGGTTCTAGCCCCTCCCTCCCCCCTCAAAGTTTGGTTCTGGCTCCCCGACTCTGGTCTAAATGCGTGCCTAAATGCCCCACCCCAGCCGAGAAGTTTTGGAAATTATAGCCCTCCTCTGGGAACAGAGCCCTCTGTTCCCAAGGGGAACAGAGGGGGAACGCGAAAAACCCAGAGAAACGTAAAAAGGAAGAATGTCGGACATGGGGGCATGAGATGCCTTTCATCAGTCCACTGCGGGACGATGGCGTCCCCATGTAAACGTCATTCCATCCAATCTTGTATTGCGGAAACCCTTTTGACTTCTCTTTATTTCACGACTGCTACGGGAAGAACGGAGGTGAAAGGACTGGGACAGGAAGAATGGAGTCGTGGGGGCTGAGTTGGAAGCGACCTCTTTTGCTCCTTGCCTCTCCCGAATGGATCTGCGCACCACCTCCATCCTTATTGTCGTTTCAGATTTCATTTCTCTTTTCCTTTCCTAGTACATGGTACTGTACTAGCATGTGTAAACTTGTTCAAGCTGATTCTAGCTCGAACGGCTTTCAATCGCTGCAGAGAAGCATAGAAGGTTCGTACGAGCATCTATCGTGCTTTCAACATCGACACCCCAGAGGCTATGCAGCAGGGAACGCATAAACTGATCAACAGTAATCGAGGACTTGACTCCTTGGATAGGGGAGCGGACAAATTCCAGAACATCATGCACGCTATCGAGAGTAAGTGGACCTGGACCCCGCATCGGGCAGGAACGGATCACCGACGGATAAGATCTTCTAACAAAAGGCAAACAAGAGTGGGAAAATGGGCCGACTTAGCTTTCTTTCTTTTGCAAAGGAAACGTATTTTCATCATTCAAACCGTACGGAGTGAGCCGTCTCTGACGCACATGTCGCATAGTCACTAGGATGGAGGTGGTGCGCAGATCCATTCGGGAGAGGCAAGGAGCAAAAGAGGTCGCTTCCAACTCAGCCCCCACGACTCCATTCTTCCTGTCCCAGTCCTTTCACCTCCGTTCTTCCCGTAGCAGTCATTCCGCCTCCTGTCTTCCCTTCCTAGTCCTTTCACCTCCGTTCTTCCCGTAGCAGTCATTCCGCCTCCTGTCTTCCCTTCCTAGTCCTTTCACCTCCGTTCTTCCCGTAGCAGTCATTCTGCCTCCTGTCTTCCCTTCCTAGTCCTACCTCTTTGTTTCCTGTCGTAAGCGCCAGTGTTGTAATCCCTAGCCTCCTTCCCCGGGTAACCTCGGGGGTAGCAAGTGCTACAAAGGCCAGGTGTTGTTTGGTTTCGTTTTTCTCTATGCGACTAGACACTTCGCTCCGCGATGCCCTCGGCGAGGTTCATCAGTTGCTGGTGCTTATATGGGCACGAATCTCCGGGATCATCCACTTGTATGGATTTCTAGGTATCCATGTTGAGGTTTCATCCAGGATGGGTTAAGGGTTCTCTGATCGTGTTGACCAGCTCACAGCATGCGTTACTTACGCCAACAGAGAGAGAGAGAGAGAGAGAGAGAGAGGAGAAGTATGGCAATTGATGACGTATTAAAAAAATAAGTAGAGGTTTTCGGAATCCCTCCCAATCGAGGTGCTGGTAATTTCCTTGACCTAGCATATTTACCAGGCCGCAGATTTCAAAACTTCAGCAATATATGAACCAGACCTACTTGGTGCAGTCTTCATAGTTATCTCATTAAGTGCTGTCCATGCTTCGCCGCGAGAAAACTTGAATGTCTCATGCAAAGGAGTCGGAGAACCAAGGCCAAGGACGTACTTGTAAGGAGAAGGTTGGCAGACGGCTACTACGCTCTTGCCAAATCGAAATCGGAGCACCAGGCTAAACCCTAACCCTGATGAGCTTTCCATTCTTCTCATTCTATTTTTCTCTCCCATCATTACATTAATGACCACGGCTCATTTCATTTGCTCCAAACTGGTCTTCAGTCAAGCCACTATGGAAAGGGGGAATCTTGGAATTCCTTCACGTGCATCTATTGCCTCCCTCTATTGCCGGACCATTTTCTTAATATTTTGCGTCAGTCTTCCCGCGCAGCGTCTGAGCGAAAGCGAAAAGTTTAGTTTAGCCCTTTTTGGATCGAAAGATATATATTTAATAAATCTTGGAGGGAATGTGGATTGAGAGATGAAAATTTGGCGTAGTGATCCAAGCCAAGGGGATCTAAATAGCATTGGACTTGTACTAGAACAGGTAAAGAAGTGGCTTTGTGTAAAAGTGTTCAGCGGCTCAACCAAAACCTCAAGGAAAGTCGGGTTTTGGTTGTGTTTGCTGTTCCTTAAATTTCCTGAAACTGCGGGAGTTTGTACGGCGAAATTATGTATAGTCCAGGTCCGAATATGGGCCAATAAGATTGCCGATTTGAATGGTTAACCCAATCATTGTTTTGTAGTGATAGTGTAAGTCTGCGCTCGCAGAGGCTGTCTTAAGCATGTGTAGCAAGCCGATGCTCCACTGCTTCGCGAGTGCCTCCCGCCTCCTCCCTATCGGGCATAGGCGCCGACTTTTAATAAGTATTGGGGGGGGGCAAGTTCCTATTGCCCCTGAAGTAACAACGACGCAGTTATTCCAGGATCCATTGGGGTAGTCCTTCCATGTGCCTTTGTTGAAATTTTGCCATTCTTGGGGGGCGTTACCCCCTCAATAATATAGTTGGGGGGGCACGTGCCCCTTTGCCCCCCTGGGTTCGGCGCCTATGCTATCGGGAGATATATATATATATATATAGAGAGAGAGAGAGAGAGGCAACAGAAATATGTATAAGGGAAATATATATATATATATTTCCCCCCCCCCCCCCTTCTCAGCATGCCGAGAGCGGTAAGATCTCTTTTCATTTCTTCTAAATTGTTTTCTGTTGATTCAGCAGAGTGCGACCGGAAGGTGGTGGTTCAGCGAGTGAGCGGAGAATTTGGGTTCCGGATCCATGGATCCCGACCGGTAGTGGTCTCCGCCATAGAACCAGGGACACCAGCAGAATCCTCGGGGCTTCGTCTTGGCGACGTCATCATTGCCATCAATGGCGTCTCTGTCCTCGATTCCTCCCACGCTGAAGTCGTTCGAATCGCTCACTCAGGTGAAGAAAGTTCAATTTGGAATCTCTATCGTCGTTTAAATTCACATGTGTCGATGAAATGTTTTATCAATTTCATGCCCACCTTGCGTAAGTAAGGCATAGAAAATCGACAGAAAATCTAGATATTTGGGAGAGTAAAAAAAGCAGGCTCATGCCCAAGCTCCTATTAAACACTAGAACTGCCAACCGTCGATAAAATCGACGTTGGTAGACCACCGTGCTGCTTCTGGCAGTTCCAGGGGTAAATATTCCTACCACTTTATAAACACTTCACATCAGACCATTTCAGCACTGGGCGATGACATGTACAAATCTACTGTATATCCACGCAATATATATCTTTTGTAAATGACTTCCAGACTTGAATTCTTTACACATTGATAAGAACAGCATCCGGACAGGAGACAGTCAGAGGGTGCCTGGCCTTCTACTTCTTAAACTCTCGTGGAGTTTGTTACCTCCTTGCTGTGCAAATGGAACATGTATGAAAGTAGGCTTTCCCCTGTAATGGAGATAATGTCCTACTTTATTTTTAGCCAGGACATATACTTTCTCTCCTCTATTTGTTTGAGGCGTGCGGTCATTGAGTAAATGTTAACATGACGCTTCCAAATGCAGGTTCGGATATTCTTACTTTGGAGATTGCACGAACGACGCTTATCATGAGTCCGATCTTGGGAGATCAGGCAGCTACAACTATTCATTCTGGGTATCTCTATCGACGTTCTGGGAGTTCCGGAACTCTCCGCTGGCACAAACGATGGTTCCTCCTTAAAAGTGACGCTTGCCTCTACTTTTCCAAGAGCGAAAAGGTTCGAACCTCAGTGTCCACCGTCTTTTTTTTTATAATTCGCTATTCCCACTTTATTTTACCACTTTTTTACCTTCTTGTTTCTCGCATGTAGGACCAGACCCCCCTGGGTGCCTTCTCCGTGTTGGGATATAGTGTTCAGGCGAACCCGGAGCAAGATCAACCATTTGCCTTCAGTGTCGGTCGAGCTGGGTCTGTCGTCCATTGGCTTGCTGCAACTTCCCTCGACTCCATGCAAGCCTGGATCCAGGCCCTCAAGGATCTAGCCATGTCTGGCAAGGAGGTAAAAATCCCACCCTCCGTCCTGCTTATTACGGGTTTTGTTGCCCAATAAAAAGTTCGGGAAAATGGGACGCTGTTACGGGATCTTTTACTACCGTAAAAGATCCTATCGCAGCAATTGCAAAACATGATGTCAAGTGGACGCCAGGGTTGTTTTCGGCTTCTCTTTCCCAAACTCATTCTGAAAAGCGAAAGTTGATCGTATAGATACAGTAGAATGAACCCTGATGTGAAATGTTCGTAGACGAAGCGAGACAGCAGCGGAAACTCAGCCCGTTTAAACTTTTTATTTTGTTCAATCACTCCCTCATCCCGTTCCCGAAGACTTGACAGTCTCTGTTTTCCAAGTACACCACCAAATGTCCGAGTGGAAAGTCGAAATCCTTGTCAATGTCTTCACAAGGGTGGGACGGAGACATTGTCGGACTTTTAGAGCTGAAAATGCTGAAGTCTTTAGCCATTTCAAGCCGTCGTTGATGCTGACAATTTGACATAAGGGCCATGTTGGCGTTCGCCGGTTTGTCAACCGGAGCTGTTTTGACGATGCCATTCTCGAACGTGACATTATTTCGACAGAAATACCGTCCTACTCAGTCGAACAAAGAAGGCATCATGAGAGGATGTGAGCCTTGGATCAAGGTTTTTTTTCTTTTTACTGGATTCTCGATTTGGTAGCGATTACTAGCTGCTCGTTAGAGTATGCCAGAATTTTAAGGGTGGAATTGAACCATGTGGTCATGACGATCCGCGAATCGAGAATTTGACAATGAAAAGAGAATCGGCATGTGTTCAATGATTGAACTGAGACAGTTCTCGCATCCTGTAACAGTAACCTTTCATTGGTCTGCCTGCTGCCAATGTGGTCTTACGACGTGCAGGAAATTCTGCAGGAGACTGCGATGATGTCATTCATGAACACCGTCGAGGAATTGCTTTCTTAGTCTGAAAAATAGTCCCTGCGATAGATCCGCAACTCAGGTTTCAACAATGCAATAGGAAGGTTCTACTCGATGGCTTTCGAATCTTAAATGTTTTGGGTGTGACTTCCTTCCCCTCCCTTTAAACTAGGAAAGCCACAAATCCATTGCTCCAAGCCTTCAATAAAGACTCAGCAGTTTCTAGTGAAGTATACGTTGAAACCTCTATCTTACAAAGGCATGATAATAGTGAATTTCTCGTCTCCCCCTATCATGAAACATCGGTCCTGGCGAAACCCAGGAAAGCTTGTCGCTTGGAGGAAAAATCGATTGTGCGCATGCCTGTCTGAGGAATGTCATCTCCGCTTTCGCTCCAATTAGAGAAACGAGCGAGCGAGTGATAATAATTGAGTACCCCTACCAAAGACCCAATTAAGGAGCCTTTACTAGTTTCATTTTCCTACCCCAGTATTGCTGCGAATGCACTCGACGCATCCCACCAGAGGAGTTTCGCGTCCCACGCGGCATCCACCCGTCATCGCAGCGGTTATGCGCGCGTCGGGCGCAAGGACAAGGCGAGCACCCTGCCGATAAAGTCAGTCACTCTGAAACGCATGTTGGCGTTTTCAATGAAGATCATTTTCGCTACTGCTTGGCAATAGCTAATATTTATTTTCTTCCGAGTCAATTTCCAGGAAACTCGGAAACTCTTCTCAACCGTCAGGCTGCTGTTTACCTGTTGGATCGCATGAGGGTAGTCAATTATTCTTATCCCTGCAGCAATTTCGTAATTAGACGACGAGCTAACGCGAATCTTTTGCATTGTTCCTCGATCCCTTCGTGACTAAACAACCCAATTAGGAGAGTACAGTGCCCCATACGTCAATTCTCTCCGAGTGGAGAAAAAATGACTTGAGGGGTGCCTCCAATTATATTCTGTGTCAATTGGATATTGATGTCCCGAACTGATGGAACGGCACAGCCACAGCCAAAGGTTTTGTGAGATTGCGAAGTAGCCCTCGAGTAAAACATATTTCTGTACCCATTTCAACCTCATCCTGCCGAGAATCTCATAGTCCAGACACTGAATTCAGAATTAGAAACTTGAGACGGAAATGGAACCAGGTTATTTCCCTGGTGTCGAGTCTTACAGTTGAGCGGGAAAACGTGGACGAGGTCTCTCTTGCTCCACGAGAGACATCTAGCGTGGGCTGAGTGAAGCTTACTACGGCCTGAAGATGGTCCATGGGATGCCCTTTTTTTCAGGGCAGGTTTCTCTATAAGACAGGACGAAAAGCCTCTTAGTTCATCAAGGCCAATTCGAAATGGAGTTCGAAGTAAGGGAGCAATTGATGTGAGATAGTGGTACAGCCAATTTTCGAAAGTATCGAGAGCATGGAATAGAGATTTTCAGAATGCAAGAAGTCGAAGGTCCATATCGTACTTCAGTTAGATCTCTCCGACATTTTACTCTTAAAGCGTAGGGGTTTTCCCCCCTTCATCTTCCATTACTTATTTTCCGATCATTCCCGTAAGGATCCGTGGTTGGAGAGGCAGATTCTAAGCTTAGGGGCGAGTGCGACGAGCATCCAAGACGCAGACTGTTTCGGGTACCTCAGCAAGTTGGGCCACAAGTGGAGAGCCTGGAGACGTCGATACTGTGTCCTCAAAGACGGCCTCATGTTTTTCTTCTCCGAATCCAATGCCGACTCTGCCCTCGGTATCTCGCTTCTCCTTCCTCCCTTTTTCGTTCGCTTCGGCTCGGACACATTTGATTTTCTGTTTCTCTCTTTAGGAGGGGTTTGCCTTCACGGATACCGAGTTCAAAGCTCGGCTGTGGGCGGGAAAAAGCACGCGTTCGAGCTCGTCCCTCCAGACTCCAGATTCCGGCAGTTTTACTTCTACACCGACAGCGACACGGATAAGAAAAGGTTCGATGGTGCACCCAGTCGCCCTCTCTCTCCTTAATGAATTTTGAAATTCATTTTCATCGTGCGTTACAGATGGGTGGCTGCCTTGGAGTACTCGATCGACCGTTGGCTGAAGGTCAGCTGAAATGGTTCGCCTGAAGATCATCGACCTTGGTGCTAAAAAATAAAAAAAGGAAAACAAAAAGGAATCCTGCTGCTGTTTCGTCTTCATCTTGCTCAAAACTCCGAGTATTCTTTCACTGCCTTCGCGTGGTAACCAGACGCTTACGTCCCGTATGAATGCCATGAACTAGTTGTTATCATCCCCCTTTGCCGTGAGTCCATCCCATTCAGCTCGTTTTTCCTCCTGTCTCCATAATGACGTTTGAAATAAAAATTTGACATTGGCCTGGATCCACCTTCGCTCCGGAAACAGACTCAATAAATCACGAAGACATGACATTCCTTTTCCGCTATTTCGAGTCCAATTTCGGCCCGAGACTCGATGAGAATTCGAGCAGGAAAGGATTTCACCGCCCGGATTCGGTCTCCAATGCAGCGAGGCTACGTGAGGTAGGGCTACCATATATCAGACAGCCAAAAAGAGGACGCCTTCCGCTCGGACGGAGGTTTGAAGGTGAAAAAGGAGAACATGTCCGGGAAAAACCGGACGTATAGTAAACCTAGCCTGGACGAAGTGGGTCTCCATTTTACGAGAATGCGACTTTCACTGGGTTACGTGTTTCAGTCCTCGCTTGGGTAGACAAGGTGACCATACTCTTGGCTATCATCTGCTAAATATCGAAGATTCAATGTTAAATTCTCTGAGACATACCAAATTTCAAGAAGTGGTGAAGGGTGACCACTTGCAAGTTGGATCCCCTCACAACATGTTTCTACAGAATTGATCAAGTTGAGGTTCAGGCCAACTGAAAATTTGTCAGTTGTCTTACGTTTTTGGTGCATCTATTTCTGCTCGGACAGTTATTAGGAAAGAAGTGCAAATTGTTCCAACCGGTGAAATAGAGATGGTTAATTTATTCATTTCGGGCAGCTTCCACCATCATCTCACGATTCTCTTTTTTAATTCCACACCATAGCTATAGGCCAAAGATTAAAGTGAGCCCACACACCTGGAAAGCACCTAGCCCGTACAGACCTTAGCGCAAGTTCAATGTCATTGAAAATGTGAGTATCATGAAAGAATTTACAAGGTGGCCCATAAGTAAGCTTACCGAAAGATTTTCGGCTATACTGACTTATTGACCTCGGTTATGTATATTGCATGATATAACTCTTTGCTTTTTTTAGATCCTGTTGATGGCCGTATTTGCTTTCTGTTGGAATGACTCAGACTCACTAAAGAGCAGAGGATTTTAATCATTGGTTCATTAGTCTTGTAAATTCACTTATGGGCCAGTCTCTATAGAAAAATTATTAGGGAGTCCACTTGCCACTCAAAAATTTACCAGACCAAGTTGGCTCCTCACATAAATCGAGAACAGATGAGCAGCAAATTCATCGTAGAGGTATAGTTCATGAACTTCCCGGTCTACGTTGGCTTTTCGCAAAAAAATTAATTTGAAATGGCTCTTAGTTTTAGTCAGAGTAGCAACCATGCACTATAGTTCCAGCACCGCTTGTCCTTATGATGTCCCGACTTGTCCCAGGGAGTCCACTTGATCCAGGCAACTTTGCTCGAAGAATGACTTTTCTATTCCTCTATCTATAAAATATATTTGGTTATAAAAATTGGAGTGTTTTATAGCGGCGTAGTATATCATCTTGCATCATGAGTCCAGATCTCTGGACTGGTTTTTTGTACAAAAATCTATTTGCTTATTGGAGCGGAAAATCCAGTTTTCCATGAGAATAGGCATACGAAGAACAGCAAGTAAATCAATCACAAGCAACAAATATGAACAAACCGTTCGATGTGGTTCCGGCATTAAAAAAATAATAACTTGCACAGGAAAAAGCTCGGGATTCAAGAGGAAATCTGCAAAGGTATGGAAGAAAGGTGAGGGAGTAGAAAACAAAGAAAAAATGATGTTCTAAACATGGAACAAAAAAAAAAAAGAGAAACAAATTGGCAACGTGCTCGGAATTTTTTCAAAACGTTTAAAGAAGTTGTGACGACACCCGACCGTCACGCGACCGTGCCCTTACCCCCGCTAACCGGTTCGAGCAAGTTGGGGTCGAGTGAAGCAGGGTTGCGAAATCCTTCCTGGACGTTCTCCGGTCGAGAGCCGACGGGGTCGTTCCACGTGTCGAACTAGAGAGTCGAGATCTTTCATCATCCGACTTGGCAGTCTCGCTTCCTGATTTTCACGAGAGCAGCTCCGAAGAAAAAGGCTGCCGCTTGGCAGTCTTGACAGGCAGAACTGGCAGTAAAGGCAGAAATTAAATACTCTCGAGCAACTTGCTGCAATATCCTACAGCTTTTCACGCAGAATGGACAGAGTCCTATCAATACGTCAATTAAGCAATCTTTCACGCGCGAAATAAAATGCCCAGAGAAGAGGTAACGTTATTCTCAGGAGCATGAATGGGTATGTAATGTTGTTAATGATATTTAACAATAATGTTTTAATGATATTTTAACGATTTGTATTCGCATTCGTGTTGATCCAGGCCTATGTGACAAACTATGCAGCATTCAGTATTTAAATGAAAACGTCTGAATTGCTGGTTTTGTCAAAAAAAGTCAAAGTTTGATGCATACGCCCCAATTGGACTTCAAGATCCTAGACCCAAACATGCATTTCTGGCATCGCTGTTCTGACTTCTGAAGTCATTGATTTTCTCATGGAGTCTACCCCGTACCAAAAGTGAATGAGATGTCTTGGAGTCCTTGGAATGTACGGAGTAAATTTAAACCGTATTAATCTCCATTCATCTTTGACAACCAAGGATCCATAAATAAATACTTGAATGATGTATTTGAATGGGGAGTTCCGAGTTTCCTCGTCACGTTCACCATGCAATCCAGACAGGAGAGCCACGATTCATCTTCTTACTGAAGTAGTAGATACGAAACAGTGAGCCATCCCTGTTCTCGAAGGTGTGAGCAGCGTCATCTACCGTCGGGAGAGAGGCCGAATTGGGTCTAGTGCGATCCGAAAGAGTGTGCTGCTGTCGAAGGTCTGAGGAATCTGCTAATTTTTTAGACGAAACTGCTTCCGTATTTTCTGTTTGAAATATCGAGGACTGAATTTCTTTCGCGTATTTCAAATACAAAGAGGATTTTTTTCCTCCTCAAATTCACGAACAGGAGTACTTTGCTCACCTCTGGCTAAGAACGAAATACTTTATGAGGAGAGTGGTCAGGCATGACGATTGATGAAGTAGAGGTGGCGGGGGGGCAACAATTTGGCTAATTGGCGATTACGCAATGTAGGATTCCCTTACATACAGGAGAAGTCTTACCAGATCGGAGAAAGGCAACGGATTCGCAGACACGGTCGAGCAGAGCTTGAGGCTGACAGGCGTGCTTCATCTTGTAACCTCGGAAGGAGTGGTTGCACGATTTCTCATGACGAGATTCAGATCGCCTAGGAGAACTACACGAATTTTATTCATTAAATGGGTCTCTGCGAGCCTGCATGTGCACGAAAACACATGCAGGAAGATTTCGACACAGGGCATTTGAATTAACTCCGAGAGCAATATCCCGCCACAAGACGGATGCTGCACACTGCCATATATTAGATATGCAGACAGAACCTTGATGACATGTCCGTTTCCCCTCATCGAATATTATTTTGCATTCCTCCTAGCAGGATCAGATTAAGTTGCGAGGCACGGGGCAAGTGAATTCCTGGGGCTCCCTTTCCCCCCCCCCCCCCCCTTTAATCCGGCCCTGCCTCCTAGATTTCCCGGACAAACCAAGTTTTTCCTTTTCCTGACTTCAGATCTATGAAGACTTGTCAGATATTTATTGGAATCGTATACTTGAGGATTTCCTCTTGATTCGCGGTCAACCGCGCGGGGAAAGAGAGAGAAAAAAAAAATAAAGACGAGAAGGCTGAAGAGAAAGAAGTGAGAAGGAGGAAGACGGTAAGGGGAGCGCTGCGACTGTTTGCAGATGGCGCTAGCCATGCCTTCATCAGCTGACAGGCAGCCTTGTAGTCCGAGTGCTTGTGAGAGTCGGGAGAGCGAAGGAAGAGGGTGCCGGGCGAGGTGACGGACGGAGTCTGGGAAAAGGTGTGCAACTGTCCGTGCGAGACTGAGGTTCGTGGTGGATCGAGCGAGTCCAACCGTGGCCGCGCTTTAGGCCTAACCTATAGGCCAACGCCTCACGTAACGAGAGGTAAGCCTAGGCCCAGCAACAAGTCACTTGATATTTTAGGGACTTATTGTTATGGTCCCACTTTTTGTCTCAAGCAAGATGGAACCTTGGAAGTAGACTTAACTTTAGGCCTGCAGGTAGGGGCCTATGTTTTAAGGAGGAGGTATCGCTTTGTAAATCTCCCTGCTAACGTTGCTCGCCCACTCTGCCTTCTCCGATCGACATTCTACTTTTTCAAGGTTAATAATCCCTGTCGGTCTACCATAACGTTAAGGCTTACGTGAGGCCTACGCCGAGTTTATTATATGCCCTGTTTTTGCAAAGTCTGTCTATCCTCTTATACTTGAAGTCCAGACTTGTTTCTTGTCCAGCGCAAATGCCTATGGGCTCTTTGTAGAACCAGGGTTTGACGTTACATCCATTAGGTATGAGGCCTGAATTAGACCTAGCCTCTGCTCAACTGCCAACTAGACTTTTTTCTAGCATTCATTTGGCCTATGTTGGTATAGGTTACATAATAAACCTGCTGGGGTTAACAACCTATTCATTAGGGCTACCAATTCAGTGAAAGTAATTGACTAATGTTTTAATAGCAATTAATTGTAAAAAAATTTTTGACTCTAAAATCTCTCACTTAATGCCTTTTTTTTTTTTTTTTTTTTTTTTTTTTTTTTCCTTTTTTTTTCCTTTTTTTTTTTTTATTTTTTTTTTTTTTTTTTTTTTTTTTTTTTTTTTTACATATTCCCATTTCTCTGCCTGGTGCACAGCCTTAGCAAGATTCCATCAAGAGTACCACCAGATTCCAAGCATAAAATGAACATATTTGCTTGGAATCTGATAAATGATGGCTTGAAAAAGGCAGTCTTTTCTACAGCTCACCTTTTAGCAAAAATTTGACTATTTTAAACAGGGAGATATTAGAATGAAGACAATGTTGTCCAAATAATGCAAGCGGAAACAAGAGCCTTGTGAAAGATGGAAAAAGAAAGCCTTGATTGTCATCAACTGCCAAATTCAGGAAAGAAATAGGGTTCAGTTAAAATTAGATTAATCAGTTTAATTACCTATTAAATTACCTATGATTAAAAAATTAGTCCTCATTTGTATGCCTCTATCAGGGATGAAAATTAGGGCTGTTAAATGATCAAAATTGAGGTTCCTCACTTGAGTTTGACCCCTTTTAATTGACTCTAATACCAATAAATAGAAAAAGCCAAAGGCCATTGCAAGTAGGGCTATCATACTCAATTGAAAAAGTGTAAAAATCAATGAAGTAACGATGAAAGTGGAGCTACCTGTGATCACTGAGTCAATAGACAGAATTACAGCTCATATTATAGCTGTCATTTGATTCAAAACAAGCATGTTGCAAAGGCAACGGAGTCTTAGAGTCCATGATTGGATTTAAAAAACTTGGTTGTACCCCAGTCTGATCTCTTATTGGGAGAGCATTTTTTAACTATTTCTTTTATTTTTACCTTTCCCTTACTGTGCTTGAAAGAGTGACTGTAAATTGGGATAGCAACTGGTCTTAGAGTACTCATTGACCTGTTGCTCACTTTTGGAACAAGATAATCATGGTTAGACAAGTCTAGTCCATTGAAGATACACCTTTTGCATGGCCTGCAGTTAGTATGATGATATTGGAAGTGGTATGCTGCAAAATTAATTTTATTCCCATTTGTTATAATTCACACACTTGCACAGGACATTTTCTGCATCTCTTTTTTTCATGGACTAACCTAAAGAAGAATGGATTAATTAGGTGATTCAGCCAAGGACATGTGAGTGTAGATGCTGGTCTGCATCATTGGAGCAGCCTATTCCTGCATGAAGCATGTCAAAAATGATCCACATCTGTGACAAAGTCCTACTTCCATATCATACAGCTGTGAATATGAGAATATTAGTTTTTTTGTGAGAGGACTGTTGACTATTGATTATCCATACCATCAGCTGTTATGAAAATAATGAAAGCCAAATCATTGTAAACTCCTGCTTATTGTAAGTTGGAACTTAATCAACTTGTCTGTAGACTTACCAGTAGTTCAGCTACACAGTGAATTCATAACCCCCACAGCCAGAAATTTATCATGGCTATGAAAGTTGAGTTATTTTTTTGTTTTTTTTTCAATGAGAAGGGATGAAACTATCACTTTTTCACTTTTTAATCATCATTTATGGCAAGCATTTTGTGAGTGTGTGTCCCTTTCCAACCATCCATTATACCAGTCTCTGAGAAATGTGTCGATTTCCATAGTCTGTTTCCCATTAGTGGTGGTTGACAGGTGTCTTGTGTTGTGTTTGCCACTTTCCCTGAAGTGGCAAGAAAGTTCTGACAAATATTCACGAGTTTTCACAGTATGCTTGGTATAGCGTCCTGATATGAATATACGGATAATATCTGATAGCATTTGGCTAGGTGTACGTCTGAAATACGTGTAAAAGTACAACCATCTGAAATGCAGGGTTTCCCGCTCTTACCCACCCAAGTTTATCGTATTGTGATTTCACATTTCCACTACAGATCAATTGATGAATAGATTGACGACTGGGCGTAGACGTATGGGAGACGCTAATCTGTCCCTCGGTTGAACAGGTCCGAAGCGTCTATATGGAGGAAAATTTAACAATTTGTTGTGAGTTCACGTAAAATGACAAACGCTTACCACAAGCAAACCTTGCGATCTCGAGGATCCCATGACTCGCATCGTTGACGCGGTTAACAGTGTCACTCCGGAAACGTTGTGCAATGTGTTCGGCGAGACCGAACGGCGCCTTCATGCATGCATAGAGGAAACTAGTGGTTGTGTGGAGCTGTAAACTTCTCAATGAGTCATTAAAAGTAGAGGTTTTTAGAAGTAGAGGTTTACCGATGAAGGCATTTAGCGGATGGGTCGATGGCCGGTCATGATCACAGGCGCACATCGGCCGTTGCCGTTGCCGATGCCGATTGTGACAAATAGCGGGATAGAGGAACAAACTCCTTATTATTCAATGTATGCAGTGTGTTTTCAGCTTTTTCCATTCCGGCCTACAAGTGATTTACGACGCTGCCTCCCCGTACCGTTTTTTTTGTTTGTTCTTTTTTTGAGTGGGAGAGACCGGAAGCATTTGCTCATATTTTCGTAGAAGACGCGCAAGTGTGACGTTGATACACAATGTCGTCATTTGACCGCTGACCGCGACAGTGAAAGGTTGGATCATGCGTTTGCAAGATATCGATTTTTCACCCCGAGGGAGGCGTGAGTCCTTATCGCGGACAGAAGCATGTAAATCCTAGGTCGTTGGCCGACATTTTCCCGGGAAAGGGACGGGAACTGCGCGTCCGATGTCATCATTCGATCCAGATCGCAGCCATGGAGAGAGATTCCATCAGAACATGTTATAACTCCTCTATTTTTTTTTTTTTTTTTTGCTTGGGAAAAGCCAGATGTATTACTCTTCTGAGAAAAGGAGACGGGTGAGTCTAGTGCCGTTTCGCATTCGCAGCGCACGTGCTTTATGGGTGGGGGGCATCGGGATCAGCAGTTGAAAGTCTGCTGGTGGGCCGATGGTGCGTGTCATGCCGTATCGGCTGCCGGTTAAGGTGGCTGTCGATGCATTGGTTCAACCCCTAATTAAAAATAATTAGTTGTGATAACATGTCGAGGATACTGTTGACCTGGAATCGTGGAGAACCCTACGCTCTCCGGCTCGTCTATATAACCCACATGGGAACTGTTGATCGGTCATGGGTACAATCTCCGAGTACTGTTATAGCTGTATTCCAATTTCAGGGTTCAGTAATTCAAGTATCAAGAGGGCAAGGCTTGGGTTGAGTGATCTTACGAAAGAGCATGCTGCCAATCTTTTTTTAATTCCTCGCATTCTCGACTTGTATTGAATGCGAATTAGGACCATTCCATTGCAACGCTCGAGGCAATGCTCACATTTTTCGCTTTCATCGGCCTAATTGATATTGCCAGAATGACGAACGTACGGCCGTTGAAACTCCCTCCCGTCTTCTCCCCGACCAGGTCTTCATCGATGGAAATGAGTGGGACCGACCCGGGGATCCTGTGCTTCCAGCACTGCGATAAGAAGACGAAGATCTTCTGCTTCTCGGTGCCGTCCACGTGCCCGGTGTGCGGCTGCGATCTCGTGAACTCCCCGCTGCGCATCCCGCCCTTCCGGATCCCGTACCCCTTTGGGAGGGCCAGGGACTTCCGCTGCGCCGTCGTCATCAAGCCCACACAGGGGAGCTTCCTCAAGTGAGTCCTCGGACCCCGCCCGACGATCTTTCGCGGTCGGGATCGGGATCGCGTGAGCGGCGCGTAATATTAAACTTTCAACTCGAAGAAATTGTGGTCTAATTACGACATTAATGGATCTTTCGTGTTCGGTCCTCCGCCTCCGCCATTTTCTTTAACTCCCGTTGGTGTTCTGCGCACTCAGCAGCACGAGTCCTCCGAGGGGGGGGAGAGGTGAAGAAAGCCTGGTGAGATTCTGCATGGCTTTCCCTTTCACGCACCATTGCACTATCGTCCCACTTCTCTTTCTCTGTCTACCAACTTGATAAGGAGGAGAAAGCAATTATGGAAGTGTATTATCGTCGTATTCACCTTACTGAACTTCGAACGGACAATCGGGGCGTGGGGATTTTGTGACTGGGTCTCGTCTTGGGATTCGGGTCAACGAGAGGCGTTTATCCGCCAGCAAACCAGTTTTCGCTCAGCGACTATTACGGTTCTCGGGAAAGAAGTCAACCACTCGTCTCGTGAATAATTATCATAAGTATGCCAAGCCGACCGCGGGACCACACTAGCTGCCTATGACTCAGCAGGATCTCGTTGTTTTTGAGTGCCTGGTAACGTTGATGTCGCCGAGAGCCACCAGATGAAGCGATTTCGAGCTTCGGATCGCGGCAGACAGCGAAGGAAGAGAAAGGGAAAGAAGCCGATCGATTGACCCCACCGCGAGCCGTGACTCACGGAAACGGAGGGGTCATGTCTGTCGTCAGAGTCGATCGTTCGTGCGTTTCCCTTCGTCCCTCGTGCCCTCTGATATTTGTGCTGTTCAAAGAGGACCGGAAATCCCCAGCACTTGTCATTGTGGATTATGAATCTTTTGGCGTGCCTGGGAATATTCCACGTCTCCGGAGGGCTGTTAAGACCGTAGTTTCTTCCGATAGGGACTCGCTGCCGGAGCGGAACATATTTGCTTTCACTCCTCTTGTAAATACGTTTGCTCGAGGGCATCTCTCGACAGAATTGCTGTCGTTGGTGGCATAAATGATCGCTCCACTCGAGAGTTCGTTGAATCGAGACGTAGCGGGAGGCGAAAGATAAGGGAATTTTCGGTAGGTGCCGGCAGCACCAATCCATTGGTTCTTCCGATTGTCCTGGTTTCTCCGTCCGTGAAAGTCGGGCTTTCCTTGACGGGGGGGGGGGGGGTATTCGTTTTCCTTTGTGTAATCGAAATGATGAAGGGAAAGTGCTAAAAATAGAGGTCGAGAGGAAAACTGCTGTCATCCACGGTAATGGTGATACGACAGAGGTAGAACGGAAGTCGGAGGTAGTTGAGGTCAGCTTGGCCTTTACTTATTTTACATATCTCATCGCCAAGGACGACCGGAATCTCGATGGAGCCAGAGCCAAGGACATGGAAAATCTGCGCGTCAACGCATGGATCTGTAGCTTGACGTGTTTGTGTGCATTCTTTTTTTTTTTTTTTTTTTTTTTGCAGGGACTACAAGAACTCGTCAGATCTGCACATCGGGGTGACGGATTCCCGGGGGGAGGTGGTGGAGTATGATCGGAATGGGGTGAAACGAGGAGATTGGGAACATTGCCTCCCTGTTCCCATCTTCCCCAAAAAGTCGTCTTCCCTTTCACTTCCTCAATCTCATTCCTTTGTTCTCAAATGGGACTCCACGCTGCAAAGCATGGCCACCTCTCCTCTCTGGACCAAGGACAAGTGAGACCTTCCATCCTTCCCTTCTGTACCTCCCTTTTCATCCCTTTCTTTTCTAGAATTCAAGCTGATTCTTCTATTTAAGCATGTGCTTGCCTGTAAAGACGATCAGTTCCAACTTGGGTTGCCACCCGTTCATAATTAGTATGGACAGTACATATTTCAGATGCAATGTCCCTACTGCAAACTGGTCCTAATATGAACACTGTTGTCCACATTTTAAGATTTTTTTTTTTTACATAATAAAGCTTAATAGCAGCTAATATTGTTACTTTCCTTAAGTCAAAAACAGGCCACTTCATAGTATCGATTGGCGCCTTGGCTTAAAGTGGCTGTGAGTATATTTCGAATATTTGTCCATATTTTGTTAAATTCAAAGGTGGCAACCCTAGTTTAAAGCATTGATATAAAAATAGCAGAATTGTGATACCTGAATCGAAGGTAGGTACATAAATGGAATATCTCTCATCGTTCAAAACCACGTCAAGTTATCGTTGAGCAATCGTGTACCTTTTGAAAACTGCACGGACGCTATTCTTTTTCAATTTTCATAACTGAAAAATATTGTCTAAGTGTAGGGCCAAGGGAACTCCAACAATAAGTTATTTAATGCCAACTGGTTATGTGCGTATCAGACGTCAGTTTTCTTAATTAGATGTACTTGGGAAACGTTTATTAAGCACCCTGTATCATTCGAAAAGGTTGAATTTGAAACATAACGGAACGCCATCCTCTGATAGGCTCTCTAAGAATCAGGGCTATGATTGTTGACTTTACAGATACATGGAGAAGAGCCACAACTGCTACGCATTCACCTTGTCCTTTCTGGGAAGCCTGAAGTTGGAGCGGCTTAACGGAGCGACCAGTAACCCGACGGAATTCTGTCAGCGCTTCATCGTCCCGCAGACCACTGCAGCCGGGAAGTACATCACCCTGTACCGACGTCTTTCAGAAACCGGAGTCGTCGTCCACAGATGACGCGCGCGCGATCTCTTTGTGTCTGCAGTGAGATGTGGTTAGGAAATGGAATCTCTTGCTTTCTTCTCACCCTACTTCCCGTCATTGTGTGAAGAGCCATGGTTTGATGCACTACTTGGTTGGACTGTGTGACAGCAGGAAGCGAGGCTTTTCATTCCTGATCTCGTTGTGTTTAAAAGGGTGCCTTTTCAAAGAAAGAGGATCAATGGTACTTCCGGATGGGATTCACATCCCATCTGCTTTCAAGATGGAAGAATGCGGTTGATAATCTAATGGGAGACCCAATATTTTAGATTATTTGGTATATTATTGCAACTGCTATGTCCTTTGTATTCATGCACTTTACCCATTAGGTATATGGAATTTGTAACATGCACTACCAATTAGCCTTAGTCGAAATGGTTGATGATGATTATCATTTTCAAATGATATCAACTTATACAGCCAATTACCTCTATCATCTATATTCTATCTGAATTTTGATTTTTTGGTGTCAAGAAATTCGACAACTTTTTTCTTACCTCCATTACGTAGGTAAGATAATAAAGTCAGAAATTCTACCTATAGCTCATTTGAGATACTGTAGTATTCTCCGTAATACTGTGACAAACCTACATGTCCATGGCATGTCTTTACATTTACCATATCATGATCAATTAAGACAACACAATTTGTCATCTCGTTCAATGGCTGGAAGAGTATTCAATTATGTGTTCAGTGATGCTTGGTAATGGCATATGTTTACAGATAAACGATCCCCACTTTCTTTTCAAACATTCTGTTTTTATCTTTACTTCTATGATTTTATGTTTGAAAGATTTCTCTAAAATACTCTTTCGTTGTTGAGAAGTTGAGCTCATCTTCTAAATGTCAGATGAGAATTTCACATTCCAGACACTTTCCTTGAGTGGTTTAGAGATTCAGATGAAGGTTTGCTTTTCACAACAGGTTGTCATATTTTGCATGTGCTATAGTGACAAGGTCTGTCACGACTTTCTGATCCAGGAAGAAGAGTTATACCTGCGTAAAAGCCGAACTGGAGCATGAAATCAGAACCGTAATGGAATGGAACGTTGAATGTAAAAGTAAAAGTACAAGTGTCTGAAATTGAAAATGTGAGAGGCTTCCTTCCTTTCATCTCAGCAAACTCCTGGTCCTTTGATGTTGCCAGGCTATCAGGTGTCTTCAGATTGAGTTGCATGTCTAACCAAAATAAGTAATTTTTTTTTTAAAGGAAGAAAAATATCCTTAAAAAAACAAGAAAATGACTGAAGGCTTTTTATTTTTTCCTAACTTGTAATGCTTATGGGTTCCTTTTTGTGGAATATAACATTTTACTGTAATCAGTAATATTTTGAAAGAATGATGTTTTAAGGATTAGTGACAGTTTTTTTAGATAAAAATTGCAGAAGTTTAAAATATGCATTCCTGAGTTTTTTTGCTATGAATTACATGAAGACCTATGATGAACCCTGTGTCAGTATTTTCCACTTATATATGACATTACTGATATCGCTCAGACCATGAGAGTGGGTAGTGAAAAAAGACTATTTGTAAATTTTTACAAAATTAAATCCTGCAGCAATTCTTAAAGGACTAACGAAAAATCTAAAGGAAGGGAAATATACTTTGTCATTCTGATGTACCATGTAATGCTATTGCCATAATATGTTATGGATAACATCAGTGACTCCATCTCCTCTCATGATATTATGTAAGACATAAGACTGGAGTTGAACCAGAAGCTATTGCATTGCATAGAAATAAAGAAAGGAATATCATGTATTTTGTTCCCCTGGCCAGAAGTCTCCCAAGTGTTGCATGCTTGAAATGTTGAGTTTCTCTGATTGACTTTAGGACATTTATGGTGTTTTATGTTGACCCAATGTTTATGGTGTTGAAGTCCTTTGTTCATGGTGAAATGTTTTTATTTGACTGTCTTGTGTGAGATGTGAGCTGCTGTTCCCTTGAGTTGCATGAATTGTTATGGAAGGAAAGTAGGGGCATTTCTTCCCCTTGCACGTGCTTGTTATGGCAGGATTTTGTTGCTGCTTGCTTATGGGAAAATTGGTATGACTGGTTTTGGAACTCATTTTCCAGTCTTCGAAAATTTTAAATCTGCCGTTCCAGCCTGATTGCCAAATTGAAATAAGTGTCAATTTTGTGGTTAGGGAATGTTCAAGTATTACACCAGTTGGGATTTCTGATATCAGATGTCTTTTCCTCTCCCTCCTGAAGTATTACATCGTCATTCATCACTGCAGGTACCCCCAACCTCCGTGGGTTTCATGCAACATTATCATTTGAGAGGTAGCATAGAGCTATCAAGATAACTGCAATGTGTCAGCAGTGCTGTCAATTCTGCCAAGGGAAGGTCAGTGCTTAGTCATCGCATTGGCATGATTTACCCCTCGTCATCGATTGTGATCACTTGCTTGAACTTCATCACTGCTGACGTAATTCTTGAACGTTCCCTCATGAGAGTCGCCTGCCTGCTGCCATATTTTCCAACCTATTCTTTTTCCTAGCTCCACTTCTGACAGGCTGTACCTCCCTTTTCCAATACATTTGTGAAAAAGGAAAATATATATACAATTATTTTTCTTATATCTTGCTTTTAGTTTTAATTATTTGATCGTCATTGCGTGATGGATAAATGGGTGCCACTACGTGATGATTCCCAAGTATAGCGTAAATAACCCAAGTTCGCCCGCCCTTTCTGGGTGTACCCAAGTTCAATATGGTATGCATTCGTTTCCCGTAGCTCGGCGCAACAAGTCTCTAATGCCAACGGGATCCGGTCATGGTGTCTGCTCAATGGAGAAGGTGCTATTAGAATCACTTGGCAAGTACGAACCCGAGACTCGTTTGTGTCTCTCATTCCTTGAGATGGAGTCTGAGTCCCGATGTGAGGGCTCTCCGCTGTAATACGACTACGAGCAGCAGGTCTGAGATTTTTCTCGATATACAGTCTGACTTCCGGGTCACGGAGTTTCTCAAGTGGTCAATAAGTGCTCTGACAATATGTCTAGGGTCCTCCTTTCATTATTCATAGGGATCTAAGACAATAAGACCCTATGGTGTATCTCATTCCAATATGGTACTATGTCCTACCATATCGAAATTAAATACCTATATTTAATCAAAATGAGAAAGTCGACAAATTTTCAGAAAAGTACGTTAATACGAAGGGAAACCAATAATTGATATGCAGCTGAACCGATCCATATGGAAGTAGTATGCCTTCCTTGTCTGATGCTCATGGATAGAATTTATAATCGCCTATATTCAAAATTGCGTGCCTGCAGCTCTCAGCATGTGCACAGCCCAGCAAGCGGGTGAAATCCTATCTGTGGGCCCGTTGCATTAATTTTTTCTGAAACCTCAACTGTGTCGAAGCCAACCCTGTCAATACCTTTTCCTCCCTCCTGGAGTAGGTTTGGCAACCTAATTAACTAAGTTTACCTAAAAATTCGACTCCCCACCCATGTGGATAGTACTGATAAGCTTGTCTCAGACGCCAAATCCTGGTTGCTTGCGGTTACATCGTCAAGTATCTCTTCGCTGGAAAATAGAATTCGCATTCAATTAACATTAACCCAATTTAGTTGGGTTTATGGAAATTCGGGCTTATTGAAATGCTTCCATCGTATTGTTTTCCATAAGGGAAATTCCACATCATCCGGTTTTGCCGCCTCTGTTTCCATCCTTTTCTTTACTCCCGGTGGGAGAACGGAATTTTGTATTTTGGTCGAATTATTGTTAGCCAATAAAGCAGGAAGCGTAATTGAACGCTGTTGACTTAAGGAAAAGTTGAAGCTTTGATTTGGGAAGGTGTTACGGGTTCCCCGAGTCGACTTCTCGCACAGAGAGTTTGCGGAATGAGGAACGGGACCGCGAAGGCGGCCAGGACCTGACATCCATCCCTGCACTCCGAACAACATCCCGGGATTCTGCAAGTCAGATGACGCCGGCAGGAGCCCCCAAAGACACCTAACTTACTACGCCCGCATTCCGACCTTCAATGACTTCTACCTTTCTCGACGGCCTCCCGCTCGTCTCTTTCTCGGTAGAGGCAGGCAGTATCAGGCGCGACACCTCTCATCCTTTGGCAAGCCCTCCGCACACCGAAGAATTGCCAGCGGTGCGATGTGTCGAGTCGTGGGAAGGGCGATTTTTGTCATACACAGCAGAATCCCTTTATATTGACATTTATGCGACATTCAGACGAATTCATAAATCTCGATGATTTATCGAAATTCTCCGTCCCTCTAGGGAGATCTCAAATTCATCTAAATTCCAGAAAACTCCACAATATACATAACACGTGATGCCCCATAGCTGATCAAATGTATGGCCTGCGTTTGCCTTCGATTCTTGTTCTTTCGGGGCGATTATGTATGAAGTAAAAAAAAAAAGCATCCATGATCATAAGGGATTTTGCATCTAAAGAAAACTGCGCTCTCTTCGAAAACGCCAGCGAAGAAGTCCGTCCCCGAGAAAAGCATAGCTCCAAATCTCGACTCGAGAAAGACCTTCCCGTCGTCAGGGCCAAAGTCTCGTTCCATATTCATTTCCGATCTCGGCAAACTAAGAAGAGCCGGTGGGATATTTTTTCTCGCGTATCCACGCTAAGTCAATGCGACTGTGATGGGAACACGACGAGACAAATATTTGCAGGAAAACTAATCCCTCTTTCAGGCTCTTCCCCATTCCGCTTCCTAATCCCTCTGAACCTCTTTCATCCTTCGGAACGTCAGCAAACATGTCATCAGCTGATTTTTTTTTTTTTGCTGCATCCGACTTCTGCATCACGACGTGCGGTCGCGACTTCGCTCGCCTCGAGTCACTTACTTATCCTTACTGATATGAACCAGGCGAGAAGTAAGGGATGTCAGAATTATAAATGACGAATAATATATAAATACTAGACCACACCCGAGTCCCGCGGAATCAGCTTTGCTGGTAACAAAGTTGTAACAGCCATAAAGATCTCAGGGTTAATTTTTGATTAACAGTAATAAATATATATAATTAGTAATGAGATGTAGAGGGCGTCGTTAAGGTCCGTTAGAGACTCCAATCCAAGATTGCACTAAAGGAATAGCATCGGGAAAAACTAATGAACTTTTAAATTAAGAAATCAATCAATTTACATGTTATAATTTTTGTGCAAGCCTACAGATCGTGGCAGTTAATATGAGACCAGTCTCACCTTCATATGACCTCTCCTTCGTAGTTTGGTGATTCGGTTAACTGCGTACTATAATGTAGATAATTCATATATCACGTATAAATATAAATAATAGGTGGGAAACCTGGAGTGGAACTCGGGCATCGAAAACCTCGCCCGCTGCGCTCTCTCTCGCGCAGCCGTCAAAACTTCACACCCGGGTGTGATCCAGGTGTAATCCAGGCGTAATCCAGGCGTAATCCAGGCGTAATCCG